CCATACACTGTCTGGATCTAACTGTGCTGGTTGCATTACAAGAAAGCCTCCTTAATCTCTGTATCAGGTCACTGAATTTCATGTCTATATCCCTAAACATTTCAACCCTTACCTTAGAAGCAATTTTATTTTGTTTTTGGGGATTGAGGGGAGTTTGTCATATGCATAGGTCTTTTGCAAGCAGACCTATGTAATGTATGTAGGTTTGTACTCCCCAAGCCCTCTGAGACATCTCCTAGCCCCTCTTGTACTTTGTAATTAATCAAGTATTTGGATTGTGTCTGTTATTTGCAATACATTTGGGGGGGGGGGGGGGTGGAGTGCGTGTGACCGTATTGAACTTACTCCTGGCTATTTGCTAAGGGATCACTCCTGAGGGTGCTTGGGAGGACCCAGTGCAGGTCCAGGGATTGCAGGGCTGGGGATTGAACCCAGGCCCTACCTGCTATACTGTTGCTCCTGTCACAGGTATTTGCAATAGTTTTTGAGTCAAAAGATTTTTTTTTCCCTTTATGGGTCACACCTGGTGATGCACAGGGCTTACTCCTGGCTCAGCACTCAGGAATTACCCCCTGGTGGTGCTCAGGGGACCATATGGGATGCTGGGAATCAAACCCAGCACAAAAATTTGTAAGTCTACAACTGTACCTCATAGTGTTTCACTAATAATAAAAATAAATAAAATAAAATAAAATTTTATTTTTATAAAGTTGTTCACAATAATTTATTACATTCCATATTCTAACACCAATCCCACTACCATACCTTCCCACAACTATTATTTCGAATATTCCCACCACTCGCAAAGCCTGACCCCAAGCAGGAACTAAATAATTTGTTTTGTATTGCTTATATCGGAGAGCCCCCGGCAAGCTACCGAGAGTATTCGATATGCCAGACACAGTAACAACAAAGTCTCCAATGGAGACGTTACTGGGCCCACTCGAGCAAATCGACGATCAACGGGAGGGCCTTTGCTTATATCGATCCAAAAATTTCTTTAGAGGAAAGTGTATGAAGATTGTTGTATCTCATACAAGAGATTAGTAGCATGTTGTTACAGGTTGAACCTGTGTGCTTTTTTTCCCCCCAAGATCACTTGCCTTCTGCTTTACACTCCACCAAATATGGTGTGCGATTCTTGGTACATCAGTGGGACAGAGTATGAGATGTTGCGTGCCCACAAATGATGTGCACTCCAGGAATTCTAAATATTTTAAACAGCTAGAGTTAAATTATTAACTGGACTGTGACTTTGGGGTCTGGAGGCATTTCTGAAGCTTGTTGCTCTCTTCCAGGATTTATTTGTGAGTCTTAGATTATGTCCTGCTAGAAATCTTTAAAAAAATCTTTTTTTGTTGTTGTTTGTATTTTGATTTTGGGCCATCCCCACTGGTGCTCAGGGCATACTCCTGGCTCTGTGCTCAGGGCACACTCTTGGTGGGGCTCAGGGACCATATGGAGTGCTGGGAATTGAATCTGGGTAGGCTATGTGCAAGATAAGTTCCCTACCCACTATGCTATCTCTTTGGCCCCCTTTATTTATTTATTTTTTATTAGTGAAACACCATGAGGTACAGTTGTAGACTTACAAATTTTTGTTCTTGGGTTTTGATTATACAATGATCAAATACCCATCCCTCCGCCAGTGCCCATTTTCCACCACCATGGATAATATCCCTCCCACCCCACCCCCTCATCCCACCCTGCCTCTGTGGCAGGGCATTCCCTTTTGTTCTCTCTCTCCTTTTGGGTGTTGTGGTCTGCAAAAGAGGCATTTAGTGGCAAACATGTTCAGTCCATTGACCCCCTCTTTTTAATTTTAAAACTTTTTTTTTTCTAGTTTTTGGGTCACACCCAGCGATGCTTAGGGGTTACTCCTGGCTCTGCACTCAGGAATTACTCTTAATGGTGCTCGGGGGACCATATGGAAATTCAGCCCAGTCGGCCGTGTGTAAGCAAGCGCCCTACCCACTGTGCTATCACTCCAGCCACTAATTTTAAAACTTAACTGAGAAGACAAAAAAAATACAGAAAATCACAAAGATCATTTAGACATTTTAATATTTAACTTGTGTACAATAATAGCATTCAATATCAATTTATTCAATAAATAGCTAATATATTAATAAAAATCAATAATGCTTGTACACTTGATATTTATACAGAATGGATTGATTATCATAGTTTCAGAGGTATTGTGATGAACAGTACCTTTGTAACTACCTCCAGTTCTTAAGAAATGAAAAATTAAATATGACTTTGTTGAGCCTTAAGAAAGCCCTCCCAGTGGCCTGTCATATTCCCCCAAGTAAACAATAAGATGGCCACTTGTTTATCGTTCCCATCCCAGTAGTCTTTGACAGAAAGTGGTGAGATTGTATGGCTTTATTATTTTTTTGCTTTTTGGGTCACACCTGGTGATGCACAGGGGTTACTCCTGGTTCTGCACTCAGGAATTACCCCCTGGTGGTGGTGCTCAGGGGACCATATGGGATGCTGGGAATCAAACCCAGGTCAGCCGCGTGCAAGGCAAATGCCCTACCCGCTGTGCTATTGCTTCAGCCCTGATTGTGTGGCTTTACGTTGCAGAGTGAATACCTGTTTGCTGCTTGCACAGTGTGCCCTGTTTCCATATCCGTTGATCTCCAGCACTTAGGCTCTCTTCTGTTTTGTTTTTGGGCAGCACTCCACTGTACTCTGCAATCACTCTTGGCAGGACTCAAGGGACCATATGTGCTAGGGATTTAACCCTAACCCAGATCATCTGAACTATCCCTCCAGCCCCTGATTTTTTTTTTTTGGTTGTTGTTAAAGACTTTAAAGCAACTGTTGTGAAAAGAGAAAAATAATTAAGTGCATAAAATAACGTGTTTTAAAGAAATTTACTTAATAAATGTGAAGAGAGAAAGAGAAAGCGCTCAAAGAAAACTCCAGTTTCTCTAGAGGGGAAGAAAAGCTGAGAATACACCTCAGATTGCTATTTGACCAATCCCCAGGGTGGAGAATGAGCCTGTAAAAATCACTCTTAGGTAAGGCAAGGGCCAGACTTGGCCCCAGAGATTGACTACTACAGAGCTCTACGTCATCCAGCAGTAGGCTCTCAATGTGATGCCCTGGCTCTCCCTTTGAAAGCAAATTTAAGTACTTTACCTTAGGCCCTTTGCAAAATCTGTGATTGGAAAACAGTTGCTAAAAATTGCTAGGTGGGGCCCAGGGCCATAGTAGAGCAGCTAGGGTGCCTGCCTTGCCGCATGGTCTCCCGGTGATACTCAGCTTCACCAGGTGTAGCCCTGGAGGCCCCCAGCATCACTTGGTGCTGTCCTGGTGATTCCAGCACCAGGAACTTAAACAGCGAGGCTTCCCTAGGTTTTAGTTACGTAACTGGCTTTCTTGCTTTTCCTTTTGTTTTTGGACCATGTCTGGCATTGCTCAGGGGCTTCCCTCTCCTACCTCCCCGCCCTCTGTTCATTTCTAGTTCATAAACATGTAATGATTTAGTTTACTTGTTTGGCCTGAGTGTTCTTACTCACCCTAGTATGGGTGGTAGGGGCATCTGATGATGGGAGGGGGATTGTGAGGGGTTACTGAGATGCCAAGAATTGAAGCCAAGGTTCTTGCATGCAAAGAATACAATCCAGACATCCACCAGGCTTAGTTGTACATATCTTTGAAAATAATAAAAGCCTAACTTTCTTTGCTTTTTGGGTCACACCCGGCTATGCACAGGGGTTACTCCTGGCAGTGCTCGGGGGACCATATGGGATACTGGGAATTGAACCCGGGTTGGCCGTGTGCAAGGCAAATGCCCTACCTGCTGTGCTATCACTCCAGCCCCTAAACCCTAACTTTCTTTCTGGATTTGTACTCTGAAAATTATGTTTGGCTTATAGTGTTATTTAGCCCACTTTTAATCTCTATAATTAGTAAGGTAAAGGTAAAGGCCCTCCCGTTGTTCATCGATTTGCTCGAGCGGGCCAGTAACGTCTCCATTGGAGACTTTGTTGTTACTGTGTTTGGCATATCGAGTACGTCACGGGTAGCTTGCCAGGCTCTGCCGTGCGGGTGAGATACTCTCGATAGCTTGCCGGGCTCTATAATTAGTAAGATAGTAAAAAATTCACATTGTTCTTAAGCAGGTAATGAAAATGCCATAAGTGATTATTAGGAGTTCTTGAATAACTGTATTTTTTTTTTATAGATCGTTTAATTCAGCAGAACGGAAAGTTGGTGCCTTTTGTGTAGTAGAATGTGATCAAGTTAGGAAAGAAGTCAGTGTGCGGACTGGAGGATTGAATGATAAGAGCTCAAGGAAAACCTACACTTTCGATATGGTACTGCTTAAATACTGCTGCTACTTTATTATCTGCTAACGTGAAGTCACCCAGATAGCATGGTCTCATACATGATTCTCATACACAGATAAATCTGATTTGACTTTTTGAGTGGCTGTGGTTTCTTGTGGGCCAAATTATTTAAGATATTAAAAACAAAATTAATTTTTTGAATTTTATTTAAACCATAGTGATTTACAATATTGTTAATGATACGGTTTCATGCATACAACTAAGACAAAAATTATTAAAGTGAGTAATATTGCGGATTATTTCCATGAAGAAACATTTTTGTTTTTTAAAATAGGTATTTGGACCATCTACTAAACAAATTGATGTTTACCGAAGTGTTGTTTGTCCAATTCTGGATGAAGTCATTATGGGCTACAATTGTACAATTTTTGCGTGAGTGAAATGCTATTTTTTTGTTGTTTTTGGATGACACCTGTCCTCAATCCTTCTGTCTCTACTCAGGGATCACTCCTTGCTACTGCCGGGGAGACCATATATGGTACAGGGGATCGAATTTGGGTTGGGCACATGCAAGGCAAGCGCTTTACCTGCAATACTGTCATTCCAACTCTAACATGTTATTATTTAGTTTAGTGAAAAGGTTTGGATGTATTTGCTTTTCACCAATGCTTCTTTCATCTTGACAGATATGGCCAAACTGGCACCGGAAAAACCTTTACAATGGAAGGTGAAAGGTCACCTAATGGAGAGTATACTTGGGAGGAGGTATTGTTTATAGAAGACTTATATCATTAAAGTGACTAAAATGCAACTGAATATAACTTACTTGAGGGCCTCTGTCATGAAATAGAATTGTGCAAGACAAGCTCCCTACCCACTGTGCTGTCTCTTCGGCACACATATAATGAATGTAATTAAGTATTACATTCTATAATAAAATGAAGCTAAAGTATTTGTTATAGTTCCTGGGATTTTTTTTTGTTTTTTGGAGTGGGGAGGAATTTAGGCTACCCTTGGCTCTGGACTTGAGAGTCCCTCCTGGCAGTGCTGGGGGACCATATGTAGTGCAGGGGGTTAAACTGGGGTCAGCGTTAAGCAAGGCAAGCGCCTTAACCCCTCTACCTCCCTGATCAGGTGGCTCCCATCTTAGAAACAGTTTCATTGGCACAGAGAGAAGCAATTCATAAGGCACAAATGATGTCTAGGACTGGGGAGATGTCTCAGCGCACTGAATCACATGCACTGCATGTAGGAGCCTTTGCTTCTATCTCTGGTACCATGTGGTCACCCTGAGCATTACCAGGTGTGACTCAAAAACTGAGAAAGAAGGAAAGTCTACTTGGGACAGAATGGGTGGAGTAGGATATTACGGAAATGTGAAAGATGAGTAGTATTTGAAATGGAAGACTTTGCTTTGAGAATGAGTTAAAGTTAGCTTTGCTGGGGAAGTTTGATATTTTACTGATGACCTTGCATATTCAAGAAATAAAAATCATTATTGTTGGGTTTTGTTTTGTTTTGTTGGATTTTGTTTTTGTTTTTTTTGGCCACTCCTGGCAGTGCTCAGGGTTTACATCTGGCTCTGCACTGATGGATCACTTCTGGTAGTGTGGGGGTTACAATACTTGGTGCCAGGGGTCAAACTCAGATTGTCTGCATGTAAGGCAAGTATCTTACTTGCTGTGCTATCTTTCTGTCCCTGTTATTGTTGGGTTTTATAAAAAGCACAAAGAACATTTCACAAAGATTTCCACTAAATATATCTCAGTTTTTTTCTAATTTATTTTTTATTAGTGAAACACTTTGAGGTACAGTTGTAGACTTTAAAATTTTTGTGCTTGGGTTTCAATTATACAATGAATATATCTCAATTTTAGTTACTGACTAAATTTTTTAAATTCACATCAAAGGAATGTAAATTGTCTTTATAGTATTTTTATAGCTACAGAATTAACGTTATGCAGGGATTATAAAGTTATATGAATTGTAATGATAGGAGACAGGGAAGATGCTTAAGGAATACTTGTAAACTCCACATATTCATAACAGTATTATTAAGGATATTAAGATATTTGAGAGACTTTATGGCAATTAGAGAATATACTGTTGGGTCATACTCAGCTGTGCTCAGGGATCACTCCTGGAGGTGTTCCAGGATATGCATGGTTGGGTATTGAACCCAGGTCAGCTGCATGCTTAGGCAAGCACCTTACCTGCTTTACTATCTCTCTGACCCTATTGTGCCCCTTCCCTGATTTAAGTTGTTATAGTCTCATGAGGAAAGTTGGGAAGAATCATTGAACTGGTTCCATGAGTAATTTGGCTTGTTTGGTTTCTGAGTAGTATTCAGGCATCAAGTGCCTAACAAGTATGATAGATATGTGTAGGATAATGAAGAATTACTTTTGAATGGGCGGTCGAGACTTCTCTAACAACAGTACTTCTCCTTTTTTAAACTTTCTTTGGCATACTTTTTGTTTAAGTGTATTATTAAAGGAGATTCTTGTTACATGTGTTTAAATTGCTTCACTAAATGGCATTCTTTATTTTAGTTCTTATTACTATAATTTCAGGATCCCTTGGCTGGCATAATTCCACGTACTCTTCATCAAATTTTTGAGAAACTTAATAATAATGGCACTGAATTTTCCGTCAAAGTATCCCTGTTGGAAATCTATAATGAGGAACTCTTTGATCTACTTAACCCATCTTCTGATGTGTCTGAGAGATTGCAGATGTTTGATGACCCCCGTAACAAGGTAGTTCAGTCTTTGTAATGAAAAGTCTCTAAATTATAAATTGTATGTGATGCCTTGAGAAATCTCATTCTCTCTCTCTCTCTCTCTCTCTCTCTCTCTGTGTGTGTGTGTGTGTGTGTTAATCTAATGGGATACTTTTTTGATATCTGGTCAGAGGGGAGTAATAATCAAAGGTTTGGAAGAGATTACAGTACACAACAAGGATGAAGTTTATCAAATTTTGGAGAAAGGTGCAGCTAAAAGGACCACTGCAGCAACACTGATGAATGCATACTCTAGGTAAGGAAACCATATTTCCATTGCCCCACTTTCTTTCAAATAATTAGGAACTTGCTGTGGGTTGTCCAGGGAACAAAGGTATTCTGTTGGGTGTAGATCACACCTAGATTGTACGCTAGGTTCTTTACTTGTTGGGCCATACCTGGAGCTGTTCATGGTTCTATGCTTAGGCCTCTGTGCTCAGGCATCACTCCTGGCTGTATTATCTCTCTGGCCCCATAAAATTTTATTATTTTGGGGGGAGCGGGTTTGCTCCAGGGTTTCTCCCAGCTTTGTGCTTAGGGTTCAGTCTCTGTTCTTAAAGATTGAACCTGGGCCTGCCTTCAGCATTCCAGGCAGTTGTACAGACTAGGGAGCTATCTTTCAGTCTGTTTTTCAGTCTGTTTTCTTTTCTTTTTCTTTCTTTCTTCTTTTTTTTTTTCGATTCTCAGGGATTATTTATGGTTTTTCACTCAGGAATCACTCCTGGTAGTGCTCAGGGTACCATATGGGATGCTGGGAATCGAACCCGGGTCAGCCATGTGCAAAGCAAATGCCCTACAAATGCCCTACCCTCTGTGCTATTGTTCCAGCCCCCTTTATTTTTTTGTTTTTAAGTCACACTTTTTAAGAAAGCTTAGGGCTTTCTCTTGACTTTGTGCTCACAAGTCACTCCTGGTGATATTCAGGGAATCATATGTGATGTCAGGGATTGAACGAGGATTGGCCACATCCAAGGCAAGCTCTAAGCTCTATAGTCTGTCTCTGGACCTCATAACAGTTTTAACTGAAATTCTGTTTTCAAAAGTGTGCATTTAAGGGGCTGTGGAGATGATATAGTGGGTAGACACTTGGCTTTCATGTGGCTGTTCCAGGTTCTATCCCCAGGATCACACATGGTTCCTTGAGCCCACCAGGTGTGATCCCTGACATAGTGCTGGAAGTAAGCTCTGAGTACTACTGGGTGTGGCTCAAAACCAAAAACCAAACAAAACCAAGCTAAATAAATAAAAGTACTATCTCTTGCATTATGATGAGAGCTAGTACATGGATCCAGCGATCACTCTTTTGTAGTGCTTTTATTGTAGCCATTCCTAGTAGAATTGAGGTAGAATTTTTCTGCTGACATTCCCAAAGGAGAATAGTGTAGCCTTGCGTTAATCTAATGGTTTGTTTGCTGTTGTTGGACTATGAATATTTTCAGTGGTTCTCATGATTAGCAAGGTTGATTGCAGCTTCTCCCTCTGATTCAAACTGTGGCTTATTCCAGTCCTGTCTTGCCTCACATATACTTTTCTGAGGTGTTTGAGGATTTAAGTTCCTATGACCATTAGGATATTTTTTATTACTGACTTAATAGGATATCCTCTGAAAACTGCAGGTACCTAAAAATAAAAATCCACCCAAATTTTGCTCTATGCAGTTTTCCAAAATCTAAATCTTAGGCTGTCTCCTTTTGGATACTTATTTTACTCTGGTGATTTAGATTTGGGCTGGAGCGATAGCACAGCAGGTAGGGCATTTGCCTTGCACAGGGCCAACCCAGGTTCGATTCCTCTGTCCCTCTGGGAGAGCCTGGCAAGCTAGTGAGAGTATCCCGCCCTCACGGCAGAGCCTGGCAAGCTACCCGTAGCGTATCCAATATGCCAAAAACAGTAACAAGAAGTCTCACAATGGAGATGTTACTGGTACCTGCTCGAGCAAATCGATGAACAACAGGAGGACAGTGCTACAATGATTTAGACTTAGATATTTTTTTTTTCTGTTTTGAGTATTTTGTAGAAAGCATACATGTTTTCATTGTAATGACTGGGCAACTTGAACTTGTTTTTTCAGTCGTTCCCATTCAGTCTTCTCTGTTACAATCCATATGAAAGAAACTACTATCGATGGAGAGGAGCTTGTGAAAATTGGGAAGTTGAATTTGGTAAGCATTTCCCTTGATATGGTTCCCCACCCCCCTCTCCAGCTTTATGGATGTATAAATGATAAAATGATCTATTTAAAGTGTACAACACAAACATAAACTAAATGAAACAGTACTAAGCTTTTGTACTAGAAGGCCAATTAGTGGTTACCAGAAGGGAAGGTGGGATGGGAGGTATGTATGAATCAAAATGCACATGTTAATTTTTAATGCTGCGCACCTGAAATCTGTATCATATAATGCAGTGAAACTTTAAAATGTCAGCAATAGAAAAGCAGGTATGCAACACCCTGGTGTGGTATACTTTGTGAAATGGTCAAAGGATAACCCTATGAGGATTATTATCTCATCTGTTGCCTCTCTTGATTCCTTCGCGCGCACGTGTTTGTGAGAACACTTAAGATCGCTCACCACCTGGGGGATAGATTAGATGCCAGAGCATGTGCCCTGAGTGTGGAGCTGAGGGGTTGATCCCTTCCTCTGACTGGTAGGCTCCTGTTAGGTAGCCCCTGAATCCCCTAACACTGCTGGCTGTGGCCCTGTAAATTAAGAAAATAAACCAAAACCCCTACACTCAGCGAATTTCAGAGTCTCGTTTTTGAAGTTGTTTCGGGGTGTCCCTAGGTATACCTGGTGCTGCTGGTACATGGCATCAGGGACAGACCCCAGGCCTTCTATGTGCAAGGCACTTACTTTGCCATCTGAGCCACGAAGTATTCTCAGCCAGCCCCTCAGGGCAATATTAACATCTCACAGGCAATCTGTCAGTTCCCTGGAACTTACTCATCTTTATATTTGTGGGCTGGGGGTGGGGGTGTTGAGCCTATCAGTGGCCAGGGTTTAACTCCTGGCAGGGCTTGAGGGACTGTGTGGTGCTAGAGATCAAATCCCGGTCAGCCTCCTATAAGACAAGTGCCTTATCCACTATGCTAATACCCCTCCAGCCCAGATTCTTGATGACTCTGCACAGCGGTTTCACATTTTGGCCTCTTCAATAGTTTTGTGGTCACTTGTTTATTAGCTTTATAGTGAGTTGCTTAACTATCAAATTATTTGGTCATTCCTGGCAGGGTTTGGGATACCGTTTGTGTTGCGGGGGCTCGAACCTTGGTTGTCCGTGCACAAGACAAGTGCCCTACTCTGTAGTATATCTCTCAATATAATATAAAAATGAAGAAGTCTTCAAGTCTAAATATAATTGACAACTTTTTTTTTAAAGGTTGATCTTGCAGGAAGTGAAAACATTGGCCGTTCTGGAGCAGTTGATAAGAGAGCTCGGGAAGCTGGAAATATCAATCAGTCTCTGTTGACTTTGGGAAGAGTTATTACTGCTCTCGTAGAAAGAACACCTCATGTTCCTTATCGAGAATCTAAGCTAACTAGAATCCTACAGGATTCTCTTGGGGGCCGTACGAAAACATCTATCATTGCAACAATTTCCCCTGCATCTCTCAATCTTGAGGTAAGCCCTTTGAAAGGTATCTGTAAGTGTAGTAGCAATGTACTTGCTCTCATTCTTACATAGTAATCATATTTTTTTAAAGTTTTGAGCTGGAACAATAGTGTTGCTGGTAAGGCCCTTTCCTTGCATGTGCCTGACATGGGATCAATCCCCAGCACCCATTTGGTCCCTGGAACTGTACTAGGAGCAATCCCTGAGCACCACCAGATGTGACCCAAGAAACAAAAACAAAGTTGCATATGGACAAAAGGATCACTTAATCACTTAACTTCCCGTTGGTCATCGATTTGCTCGAGCGGGCGCCACTAACGTCTCCATTTGTCCCTGTCGCGTGCTAGTGTAGCCCAATGGCATCTGTTCGCTCTATGCGAACGGACAAAAGGATATTGCTGAGAAAAATTTCTCCATTTTTAAAATGCTTTTATTTCTTTTCAATAGTGTTAATATCTGCCCCATCCCATCCTACTTCTTAGTAACTCTTAGTTCTGTTGTCATGGTCCAAGAATTTATTTTCATTGTCCTGGCAGAAAAATGACATTTTTTTGTTTTGGTATGTTTTGTTCTGGGGCCACACCCAGCTATGCTCAGGGCTTAACTCCTGGCTCTGAACTCAGGGATCACTCCTGGCAGGGTTTGGGGTATCATATGTGGTACGGGGATTCGAACCTTGGTTGGCTATGCACAGGACAAATGCCCTACCCTGTAGTCCCTCCTTTCATTAAAAATTGTTTTTCTTACTGAGTTGTAATTTACAGACCATAAACTTCAAGTAAAATGTATAACTCAGGCTGGAGAGATAGCACAGCCGGTAGGGCGTTTGCCTTGCATGCGGCCCGCCCTGGTTCGATTCCCAGCATCCCATATGGTCCCCTGAGCGCCGCCAGGATAACTCCTGAGTGCAGAGCCATGCACGAGCAACCCCTGTGCATTGCTGGGTGTGTCCCCCGTCCCCCCCCCCCCCAAAAATGTATAACTCAGGAGCTGGAAAGGTAGTATAGTAGGGTAGGGTGCTTGCCTTGCATGCAGTTGACCTGAGTTTGATATCTGGTTCCGCTTAAGGTTTCCTGAGTCCCACTGGGAGTGATGCCTGAATGCTGAGCCAGGAATTTGCGACTGTCTCCAAGAGAATCTTGTAGGGATTATTTATTTAATTTTAATAGAATGATTGTGAGATACAGTTACAAACTTGTTCATGACTGGATTTCAGTCATACAGTGTTCCAACATCTAGCACTTAACGAGTGTACATTTCCCACCACCAATATCCCCAGTCTCCATCCAGTACCTCATTCTATGGTCCCCCGTTCCCAGCTTGCTTGTAAGACAGATACCCTCCTCCCTCCTTTCCTTTTCCCCTCTCTCCCTCCGCCCTACCTGCTTTACTATCACTCTTGCCCTCCTCTTTCCTATTTAAAATTTTTTTTCTTCCATTGCCTTTGTTGTGATGTTGATGACCAGGAGCTTGCAGTTCTTCAAGGGTTGCTACCTTTGTTGGGACACCCCAGGATTGCCATGGGCAGTGGTGCCAGATGCCCCTTCTCAGGTGGGACAATGGGCAATGGAACTTCCGGCCTCAGGTCTGCAGGACAGACAGACCCAGACCCTGGGCAGTCTTCACCTGATGCTGGATTTAGTACCCTTAGTGGCAGATTTAAATTATTATGCAGAGGGTTTTGATACAGAAAAATATAACTCTCATAATGTCTTTAGTAATTTTCCTCTTTTGACTGCAGGAAACACTGAGCACATTGGAATATGCTCATAGAGCAAAGAACATACTGAATAAGCCTGAAGTCAACCAGAAACTCACCAAAAAAGCTCTTATTAAGGTAATTATGAAGTTTTGTGCAACAATACAGTATTATTTGACAAAAGGGAAAATAAAAAATTAGTTAAGCAGTTTTTAAAATTTGCATTAAATCTCTTTTATGTTAAAATGTTTTTTTCCCAAATGTTAACATGTTAATGTTAGCAGCTATAGGAGTCAGTACATAATTTATTTACTTATTTGGGAGTTTGGGGATTCCTCCTGGTGGAGCCACTCCTGGTGCCACTTAGTGACCCATATGTACGAGCAGTGCTAAGGATCCAACCCCAGTCAGCTGCTTACGAGGCATGCGCTCTGCTTGCTATCTACTTTGTACCTTTACAAAAACAATTTGTTGTTGTGTTTGAAGCTGCATCCAGTGGTGTTTACTCCTGTCTCTGTGCTCTGGAATCCTGCCTAGTGGTGTGATTATACCTAGTGGCTGGAATTGAACCCAGATCTGCCGTTTACAAGTCAGCACCATAACTCTGAACTGTGTCTCCAGACCCCTTTGCAAAACTTTATTTTTTTGTTTTGGGGCCAAAAACCTGGCAGAGCTCAGGGCTCCCTTCTGGCTCTGCTATCAGGGATAACTCCTGATAGTGCTCAGGGGACCATATGGAATGCAAGAACTCAAACCTAGGTCGTCTACATGCAAGGCAAATACCCTTCTCACTATACTATCATCCCGGCCCCCTCTGCAAATTTTAAGACATATTTGCAACTTCAGAGTGAGGTCTACACGGCATAACTTCATTCATTGTAAGTTTTAGTATTTTTACAGAATTTTGCAACATCACTACAGTGAGATCAGAATAATTTTCTCCTGTAGAGGTTTTTTTTTTTGTCCCTTTTCCAATCAGGTATTCCTGACTATCTCTAGAGAGGTCTTTTCTAGACGTTTTCTCTATAATTGGAATCAAATACTACTCAGTCTTCTTGCATCGTCTATTACTGGGCATAACATTTGGGCTTCGTCTGTGTTGTAACATGTACCAATTAAGTACTTTTTTTCTTTTTTTTTTTTGTGGAAATGTACTACATTTTCTGGATAACACATGTTTATTCATTCACCAGTTGATGAATTTTTAAATTTTTAATTATTTTTCTGGTGCAAGTTTGGTTTGCAAGTTGAACACTGAATGCAACATATTTGTGTTAATGTATTTTTATGTCTCTTGGGTAAGACCCAGCAATTTAATTTCTCAGTTATCGAATACATTCATATTTAACTTTTTTTGTGGGTGGGGGATCACTCCTGGCAGTACTTTGGGGACTATATGTACCTGGGATCGAACCAGGGTTGGCTGCATGCAAGGCAAGCACCTTACCCATTGGCTCTGGCCCCTTTAAGAGACTTTTGAAGGCTGTTTAATTATTATTATAAGCAAATGACAACAGAACGAAAGCATGGTTCTGACTCTGTTTGCTGTGGGTTGTATTGGGCAGTGTTTGGAGAGTGCTGGCCTTTCCTGGGAGCCAGTATGCAGAGCTCCCCAGCCCTGCTGCTCACTTTCATCAGACATGTTTATACTTTAAAAATCACAAGGTAGCTATTTTTGTATTTGTTGCATATCCTCCCCACATTTAATACTAAAATGAGTTAAGTGCTAAATTGACCCCTTGAACTTTCTTTCTGTGTAGGAATATACAGAAGAGATAGAGCGTCTGAAACGAGATCTTGCTGCGACCCGCGAGAAAAATGGAGTGTACCTTTCAGAAGAAAATTTCAAGTAAGTTCTTGGCAATGGAAGTTAATTTTCAAGAATGATCATTTTCTGTTAACAGAACTGAAGTGAAACGGACAAATATGACACTAAAGTACATCTATTGCCTATTAGAAATGTTAGTTTATGGTTGGAATGATAGTACATTCCATTGATAGGTCAGGCATTTGCCTGGCACATGGTCAACCCTGATTCAATCCTAGCATCCCCTATGGTCACCTGAGTTCACGAGGAGTGACCCCAGAGCACAGACGCAGGAGCCAACCCTGAGCACTGCCAGGTAGGGGGCAAAACCAAAACAGAATGAATGCTGCTTCTTAGGGGGCTGAGGTTTTGGGCTTTGTACCCAGGGGTCACTCCTGGCACTCTCGGGAACCATCTACAGTGCTAGGATTGACGTGGGGTCAGCTGTGTGCAAGGCAAGAGCTCCTGTACTGTCTCTGGCCCAGCAGTCATTTCTGAAGCTTGTTTATGCTCAAGAGATCAGAAAAACTGGTGATAATGGTCTCGAATTACCCGGTTCAAAATGTCAGTGGTACATAGAATGACTGCACTCATTTGTAGAATATAAAATGACATAATATGAGACTAACACCCAAGGACAGTAGAGACAAGGGCCAGGAAAACTGTTCCACGGTTGGAAGCCTGCCTCATAAGCTAGGGAAGAAGGCAGCTGGAACAGAGAAGGGATCACTAAGTCAGTGATGGTTGGAAGGATCACTCGGGATGGGAGATGTGTGCTGAAAGTAGATAAAGACCCAAACAAGATGGCCTCTCAGTGGTCTGTATTGCAAACTATATTGCCCAAAAGCAGAGAGAAAGTAAGAAGGAAATTGTCTGCCATAGAGGCAGGGGGAGGGGTGGGCATGGCGGAAGGATACTGGGGTCACTGGCCGTAGAAAATGTGCACTGGTGGAGGGATGGTTGTCCCATCATTGTATGACTGAAATTCAAGCATGAACGCTTTGTAACTGTCTCACAGTGATTCAGTTTAAAGAAAAGTCAGTAGTACTGAGGCTGGGAAACTACACCTCAGAAAGAGTCTTGCTTACGTGATGTAATAGTGTATGTGTTGGGGCGAATATTGGGTTGTGTTCAGTATGATTGTTCTGAAAGCACAACTATGTAATTCACTTCTCCAGTTTTTAACCTTTTGTTGCCTTCAAGTTCAGCTTGTCCTGAATTTTGTTTCCTGTCTAGAGCCCATGTTCCCAGTTACAGGTGCAAAGATGCTTAAGTTGTGTTTCGTGGTACGTGCTTTATGTGAATTAAAGTCCTCTATCAGCTGTGTACCTTTTCAAGTTTTATATTTGCGCACTTCTCCCTTCTTAGGCAAGGATTCTCAGTTTAAACATGTAGCTCATAAGGAAAACAGACTAGTTTTAAAATAAAGGCAAGGAATATATTTGTGTTTTGCAGTTTGTAATTATTGCTTATTGACTTTCAGTCTTACCAAAATTCTGATAATGGTGTTGATGATGGATAACTGCCACAATATATTAGAATATATTTTATAGGAATTGGGAAAATATACTTACTGTTATATTATTCTCAAACTTTATTTTAGAGTCATGAGTGAAAAACTAACAGTTCAAGAAGAACAGATTGTAGAATCGATGGAAAAAATTGGTGCATTAGAGGAGGAACTAAGCAAGGTAAGCATTCAAAATACTCTCAAATGTTAAGTGAAAAAAGCAGATATTGAAATTTCAGTCTGTGAGTGACCTAAGTCTGTGCGGGACCTTCAGTTCTTCTGAAGCTTTTTCTAAAAGTAAGTTGTTTTATAATTTTATTATTTTCAGTAAAATAAATGCTGTTTTGACAGTTATATTAATGCACAATGCAAGAAATTAATAGAATTTTGTAATTGGGGGGCTGGGCCACACCCAGCAGTACTCAGGTTACTCTTGGCTTTGTGCTCAGATATCACTCCTGGTGATGCTCAGGGGGTCATATATGATGTTGGGGATTAAATCTGGATTGGCCCCATGCAAGGCAAGTGCCCCTCCCAATGTACTAGCGCTCCAGCCCTTGAATTGTGTAATTTTAATTTTTACATCTGAATAGGCTTCTTTTCCACTGGTGTTTTTCTATTTATCTGTCTGACCAGGTCATAAAATTACTCATTAACGTTGATCTTTGACTTTGCAGAAGATTCTAAAAAAGCACAGTTACACCACTGTCTTGCTAAATTCCGACCCTGTTCTTTGCCAGCTGCTCGTTCATCTTCCAAATCACATTTATTGCCAACCAAAATCATTGGAACCTCTTTGTCTTTAACCCGTAAAATCTGTTCCTTCAAATCCTGTAAATCATTAAATGTGGATTGAGCTGTAGTAGAATATACTAGTGCAAACCCTTGGCTATTCTTCATATACAAATCCCTGTAAACCGCTCTGTTTCTTCATATACAAGTTCTTCATACACAAATCGCTGTAAACTGCTGTTTCTGCTTGCTGTATCCAGGATTTCCAGCATATACTGTTGGCAATCTACCTCAACTTGCTTTCTATAGGAATCTTCTATTGTTGGATCATTTTTTTTTTTTTTTTTTTTGGCTCTTTGGGTTACACCCGGCGATGCACAGGGGACCATATGAGATGCTGGGAAGACAATTGCGTTGCAAGGCAAATTCCCTACCCGCTGTGCTATTGCTCAACAAAAATTCCCTGAACAAATTGAACTGTCAGAGCAGACTTTCACACACCTGCACCAAGGTCCACTAGCTTATACTCACTGCATGATGTGGCCACTTTAAATACTGACTCTGCACCAGGCTGTTTACAATCGGGGAGCCCCAGAGAGGGGGAGGGCGAGAGTCCTCCGCACCCCAAGGGATCCAGCCCCGGCACCTAACCTCCACTACCCAACTGCAGCCACGATCCAGGCCACTTTCTGGGCGAAGTGACCACGCAATACGTCATATGACACTTCCTACCTATTGTCCAAAATCACCACACCATATTTGATAGAGTTCAGACAATAGGCAACAGGCCATAGAGAGAAATATATAAATATATGCCTCTCGGAGTGCCCGGCAAGCTACTGAGAGTATCCCGCTCGCATGGGCAGAGCCTGGCAAGCTCCCCCTGTCATATTCGATATGCTAAAACCATTAATTATAACGGGTCTCATTCCCCTGACCCTGAAAGAACCTCCAGTCGTTGGGGAGGATGAGTAAGGAGAGGCTGCTAAAATCTCAGGGCTGGGATGAATAGAGACACTACTGGCGCCCGCTCGAGTAAATTGATGAACAACAGGATGACAGTGACAGTGATACATCTAAATAATGGATTTCGAGCCATTTCCATCTACATGCTAATCAAGGAGGGAATGCAGATATTGGGAGGGAGAAACTAAGATCTGACTCCTCTTCATGTTGGGAGTGATACCAGGAAACTGGAGTTAATACCAGTACACTAATCTATAATTTGGTTGATATTTTTTTTTAATATTTCTGATTGAGAGGTGCTGTTAGATGTCACTCAGGCTGTGCTCAAGGCTCACTCCTGTGGGGCTTAGGGAACCATATGTGGTATCAGAGAGTGATTGAACTGGGGGCTCACCACATGCAAGACAATCCACCTGTATCTGCTGTACTACCCCTTTGGCCCTGTAATTCGTTTTCTTAAATTGTTCTGTTTTTCACTGGGTCTACTCACAACAGTGCCAGGGGACATACTGAGGTGTTGGGGTGGGATTGGTGGTGCAGAGAAGAAACTCCAGCCCTTGTCTGTGGTACTTTTCCTTTTTTTTTTTTTTGCTTCTTGGGTCACACCCGACGATGCACAGGCGTTACTCCTGGCTCTGCACTCAGGAAATATCCATGGCGGTGCTCTGGGGACCATATGGGATGCTGGGAATCAAACCCGGGTCGGCCATGTGCAAGGCAAATGCCCTACCCGCTGTGCTATTGCTCTAGCCCTAGACATATAATTTTTCATTGGAGCTCTGTTCCCTGCCCTTCATCCTTGTATTTTTGGACAGATGGTAAATAAAATGAGCTGGTGTGCTCCATAACTTGTTAACCTATTGCAGTTTTTTTCATGGGAATAATTTGTTTGGTTCTAATATTCTATACTATATAGTAATATAATATTTAGCTAATGTTATTTGCTTATGTTTATAATTTCTCTAATATGGAAGCATCATATTGGATTATAAACTAGCCAAGACTCATAAACCAGTTACATTTTATTATTATAAAAATTTTTTGAGGTGTTTTTGGTTTGTAAGCATGTAAATATTTGCGGGGCAGGAGAGATAGTACATAGTGGGAAAGGCACTTGCCTTGCATGCGCCTGATGCAAGTTATTCCTGACTTTAGAGCCAGGAGTGATCCCTGAGCATTGCTGGGTGTGACCCAAAAGCTAAAAAAAAAAAAAGTAGTATGTAAAGATTTATAAGTTTTTGGGTAAATGTTACCAAACCATGCCTACCACCAATACCAACGTTCCCTCCCACTGTCACAGGCCCTTCCTTACCACTTCTTCCCTCAGTTCCTATTTTTATTCTTTTTTTAAATTAATCACTTAACTTCCCGTTAGTTGTCAGTTTGCTCGAGCGGACGCCAGTAACGTCTCCATTTGTCCCTGTCGCGTGCTAGTGTAGCCCAATGGCATCTGTTCGCTCTGGGAACATGAAGAGCCTCAAACCGATCGTTCATGATCTTGACGAAGAAATCTGACCATTTGGTAGGTGGGCGGCCACGCGGTCTCTTGACATCCCGTGGAATCCAGTCAGTAACAGCTCTAGTTCAGCGGTTGTCTTTAAATCTCATTACGTGACCAGCCCATCTGATTTTCGACACCTTGGCAAATGAGACAGCGTCCCTGATTCTTGATCGTCAACGGATGTCAGAACTCCGGATTATTTCTCTCATTTGAGTGAAACGTGATATTCCAAGCATAGCTCTTTCTATTCTTCTTTGGGAGACCTGAATAGCGGTTCTCATCTTGTTTGCGTAGGGCCCAGGTCTCTGAGGCATATGTTAATATGTTAGTGGAATCAAAGAGATGTGCCCAGAGCCGGAGGTTCTTCGTCCTCTTAGCTATTTCTTCGACGTTCTTGAAGGCGTTCCAAGCCACTCTCTTCCTCCTGCGCAGTTCGGGTGCCAGGTCATTTCTCATGTTGACCTCTCGACCTAGGTACACATAGCTGTTGCATTCGGAGATGGTCGTTCCATTGAGAGCGAATGGGGCGTCGGGAACGAGGTTGTTTCTCATAAACATTGTCTTTGTAAGATTCAGCTGTAGTCCTACCTTTCCACACTCACGGTCAAAGTCGGCCAGCATTTGTGCCGCTTGGCTGATGTTTGGTGTTATTAAAACAATGTCATCAGCAAAGCGGAGGTGGTGTAATTGCCGACCATCTATCTTCACTCCCATTCCTTCCCATTCCAGTCATCGCATGATGTTCTTGAGGGTGGCACTGAAGAGTTTTGGTGAAATGGTATCACCCTGCCGCACCCCTCTCTTGACATCAACGATCACTTCTTTGTAGAATGGTGAGATCCTGGTAGTGAATCCGCAATACAGCTCATGGAGGATCTTGATGTATTGGGCTTGAATGCCCTGATTGGCTAGGGCTTCAGTGACCGCTTCTGTCTCAACAGAATCAAAGGCCTTCTATAAATTAATTTTTAAAAAATTTTTAAAAATTAAAAATTATTTTTAATAATTATTTAATAATTTTTAAAAAATTATTTTATTTTCATAAAGTAGTTCACAATAGTTCATTACAGATAATATCCAGCCCACCAGCGAGCACCTTCCCACCACTATAAGAGGGAAGTGTATGAGGATTGTTGTGTTTCATTTTGGAGAAATTAAGCACAAATATAAGAAAATGCAAGCAAGTATGTTAAAGCCAAACAAATGTGTTACTTTAGATACATCCGTGGGCTAGAGTATACTATATCGCTCTCTTCTGGGAGTTTTATTTTATAGTCTCTGGATCTTGGCTGTTGATGTGATTACATGGCGCCAGGGGCGTTTTGTAGGTGTCACTGCCAAGCTGCTGGAAAACTGGGGAGCTGGGTGGAGGTGGCCCAGTCCTGATCTGAGCAGGCTTGGAGAGCTCAGCCACGGGTCCCACGTACCCGGGTTCCTCTGTTGGCTCCCTCATGGGGGAGGCTCGTTCGAGCATGTGGAGAGTGGCCTGGAGCATGGCTATGGCTGGCATGGCTACGGCTGGGTTCTGAAGATTTTCAGCTGCTGGGGTGCTGCTTGGGGCAGGGAAGGAAACTCAACCCACCCACCCCCCTCTATTTTTATTCTTAAAAATGTCAATAATGTTTTTTAAATCAGGTTACAGAATTGTTTATAAATCATAAAAACGAGCTTGATCAGTGTAAATCTGACCTGGAAAATAAGGCATGGGAACTTGAAACCACTCAAAAACACTTAGAAGAAACTAAATTACATCTTGTTGAAGAAACTTATATCACCTCAGTTTTGGAAAATACCGAGGAAAAACTTCATGATACTGCCAGCAAGGTTTGTCCATTGTTTTAATTTGTACACACTTTAAGGAAACTAGAGAATGGGTTGACGTAACTTTCTTTGCTTTAGCCTTAATTGTAAAATTGTGTACCTTAAATGTTTGCCAATTTCAAAATTTTTTTAAAATATAGTGTATTAAATATTCTGTACTTGGAGATGATAATTTAAGAAAAAACTATTGCTTAAGTCTAATGTAGAACATGATTTTAATATATTTTATTTGGTAGAATAATAAAGTTTTTTATTTTCGTTTCGGAGCCACACCTGGGGATGCTCAGGGGTTCCTCCTGGCTTGCACTCCGAAATCACTCCTGGTGGTGCTCGGGAGACCATATGGGATGCAAGCACCTTACCTGATATACTGTTGCTCTGGTCCCTAGAATAATGATATTGTGTTTTTCCTGTGGTCCTGATTGGAACCAGTTAGTCATTAAAAATTTAGTGCTATGGGGATAAATAAAAAAGTTAGAAAAAAAGAATTTAGTGTTAGTGCTAGAAAATGTTGTATTCAATTTTTATTTGCTTTTGACAAAATATCTCAGAATGGGAAAAGAAAGGTGAGGCAGTATAATACTGTAAGAGAAAGCGGAATCAGTTTTCCTTGACTAGATGACTTAAAGGGTAAAACAAACACTCCTGGCCAATTGGATAACTCAGCATGAATTTAAAATGCTCCTCATTAAGTATCTAAAATTTAGTAGTTCTCTTCAGAACTCTTTATAGAGCACAGATACCTTGTTAAATTGTCTTATCCATTTTTATCAGTATATATTTTTTTTATCATATAGTTGCTTAACACAGTTGAAGAAACTACAAAAGATGTTTCTGGCCTCCATTTCAAGTTGGATCGTATGAAGGCAATTGATGAGCACAATGCACAAGTTCAGGATGTTTTTGGCAAAAACCTGAATAGTCTGTTTAATAATATGGAAGAATTGCTTAAGAATGGCAGCTCCAAACAAAAGATCATACTTGACTGTCACAAGGTCCTGTTTGGTAAGTTGGAGCATTTCTAATAATTCTAGTTTTAGTGGTTTTTTGTTGTTGTTGTTTTGTTTTGTTTTGTTTTTTGGGTCATACTTACTTGGTAAAGGCCCTCCCGTTGATCATCGATTTGCTCGAGCGGGCCCCGTAACGTCTCCATTGGAGACTTTGTTGTTACTGTGTCTGGCATATCGAATACTCTCGGTAGCTTGCCGGGCTCTCCGAGAGGGGCGGAGGAATCGAACTCGGGTCGGCCATGTTGGCCGCGTGTAAGGCGAACGCCCTACCCACTGTGCTATTGGTAATGCACAGGGATTACTCCTGGCTCTGCACTCAGGAATTACTCCTGGCAGTGCTCGGGGGACCATATGGGGTGCTAGAAATCGAATCCGGGTCAGCCATGTGCAAGGCAAACGCCCTACCCGCTGTGCTATCGCTCCAGCCCTATATTCTAGTTTTCTTGTGTTTAATTTGAGACTATGTTTAACATTGATTGTTTAGGAAAAAAGTCAAGGGACCATGTTACTTTTCCTCCTTCAATACATACACACACTGTTCTAAGCAGGAATTGATGCTTTTACTGCCACTGAATTAAAAAAATTTTTTTTTAAGAGGAGCAGTGTGAGTTCACAATTGGCAGTGCTCAGGGGCTCCTCCCAGCTCTGTGCTCTGGGTCTCTGGATGCTCAGGTTGGGATGCCAGGGAACGAATGGGGACTGGCTGCATGCAAGGCAGGCGCCTTGTCCTCTTTACTACTATCTCCTGACCCCAAATAAGTCTTAAAAAGTCAAATCTTTGTTAAGGGACCATAGTGGCAGTACAGCTGGAAGTTCTTACCTTGCATGCAGCTGACCCGGGTTGAACCCTTGGTAGCACATGTTGGTTCCTTGAGCCCCACCAGGAGTGGTCCCTGAGCACAGAGCCAAGCGTAAGCCCTAAGCACTGCCAGGTGTTGCCCCCAAACAACAAAACAGAAAAAAATCTTGGGCTTTTCCTACCCTCACTTTCTGTAATATAAGTTAGGTTTATTAAACTAAGAATGTAAACTTTAAAAGTTAAACTTCTTTTTTATCCCTGACCCTGTCTTATTCTTCATATTTCTGCTTAATTTATTGTTTTTTTCTATAAATTTGCATAAATTTTCTGCAACTTTCTTTTGGGTTTGGAGCCACACCTAGCAGTACTCAGATACTATTTCTCTGACCCAAGTATATGTATCTTGAATTTTTGCTGTATTGTTAGAATATGTATGCCTATGATTTAAACCATAACCACTGTTCTTTTCACTTAGGAAAATGATTATCTGTTAATTTATTGTTATCCTCACTAAAAAAACAAAGGAAAAGTATAAAATTCAAATATTTAAAAAATCAAATGTCCTAGAGTCTAGTCACTTACTCGGTCTACCATAAGTATTTTTTTTAATCAATGTATTGATTTATCATTAGTTTACCATAAAATTTTAGGAGCACAGCGTCAATCATCTATAAATGTATAAATCTCATACACCAAACTTCTACTGCTGTAATGCTGTCAAAATGAGCTTCTCTACCTCTTTTTTTCATATCTTTTTTCTGTAGTGACTATTCTAATTTTTTTTCACATTCTGAGAGTTCCTTGTTTTCTATTTTGCTGGCTTGAGGTCTTGGTTATTTATCTACCCTATGTGAGTGAAGCCATCTAGCAGTTGTCTTTGACTTACTGACCATTTGGTGGTGGGATGGGGTGAAGGGGTAGTGGTGTTTGGGGATACACCTCTCTATGCTCAGGGCTTATTCCTGGCTCTGCGCTCAGAGATCACTCCTGGCAGGCTTGGGGACCATATGGAATGCTACGATTGAGTCTGGGTCATCTGTGTGCCAGGCAAGCATCCTTTCCCCTGTACTCTCTCTCTCTTGCTATCTCCTATTCTGATTTGTTAATATTTGGAGGTGGGGGGTTTGTACCACACCGGCTGGTGTTTAGGGCTTTCTTCTGGCTCTGCATTCAGGGGTCATTCCTGGTGATACTTGGAACCATACGGGGTACTGGGGGATGAACCCAGGCTGGCCATGTGCAAAGCACCTTAACCAGTTTATTAAATATTTTCTTTCGTTCAGATATTTTAATTCTTTTAATTGTAGGGCTGGAGCGATAGCACAGCGGGTAGGGCGTTCGCCTTACAAGCGGCCAACATGGCCGACCCGAGTTCGATTCCTCCACCCCTCTCGGAGAGCCCGGCAAGCTACCGAGAGTATTCGATATGCCAGACACAGTAACAACAAAGTCTCCAATGGAGACGTTACTGGGCCCGCTCGAGCAAATCGACGATCAACGGGAGGGCCTTTACCTTACCTTTACCTTTAATTGTAGGTTATTGATGGGTCTAATATACCTAATTATGTAAGTGTTTACTCTTTTTGATATATCAAACATAAACGCACATGCATTTAAAATATTCCTTGTTTATGTAGTAGGCCAGCTTTAAGCTTATTACTAAAATTTCCACAAGAATGTAATTTTGTTTACTTCTTCCTGGTTCTCTTTTTAGATATACTTATGTTAAGATTTTTTTCTTTTTCACCCTGTTTTGGTACAGGTAACCTGCTATCTTCCAGTGTTTCTGCATTAGACACCATTGCTACAACAGCACTTGGATCTCTCACATCTATTCCAGAAAATGTGTCTGCACATATTTCTCAGATTTCTGATATGATATTGAAAGAACAGTCATTGGCAGCGGAAAGTAAAACTGTACTTCAGATGTTGATTGTTAGTGAATTTCTTAATTTTTGTGTATGTGTATGTGGTGACAGGGATTGAACCTAGGGCCTTCAACACACAAGGCATGTGCTCTACCACTTGAGGTACATCCCTGATGGCTTAAAGTATTTCCGAAGGGTTGCATTTGACACATCTTCACAAAGTGTCAAATGCTATTTTGTCATTTGGAGTTTTGTTGAACATAGTGATAAAACATAATACTTTGAGATAAAAATACTACTATTTGCCTTCACTTAACTTTAAAAAGAGAGGATTTTTTCCCCTTGTTTTAGGACCCAACCTATTGTGCTCAGGGCTTACTCATGCTCTGTGCTTAGGGATAACTCCTGGTGGTGCTTGTGCTGCCTTATATGGGGCCAGGAACCAAACCTGGGTCAGCCATGTGCGAGGCAAGCAGTACATACTGTACTGTGTTTCCAATTTTGGGGTGATGTGTTTTTTTTTTCCCTACACCCAGTGATGCTCAGGGGTTACTCACACTCAGGAATTAATTACTTCAGGCATTACTCTGGGGAACTGTACAGAATGCTGAGGATTGAGCCAGGTACAGTGTGTGCAGGCAATCACCTTACCTGCTGTACTATCACTCCAGTCCGGGTAGTTTTTTTATTTTTTATTTTCTAATGATTAATCTTTCCATGTGTTTTCTTCTGTGGGAGATTGGTTTCTAAATACACATAATGAACCCTTGGAACTGAGTAAGAGTTATTAAGCGTAATAGAGAGTTAGATTTGGCTCCCCGTAAATTAGAGACCCATGAGGTAATGGACCATGGAATTATTTCTTCATTGACCCCAGAATGTTTGTGCTGGTCTTATGCTGACCCATCCAGAAAGAGACATTAAGTGGTTAATTTGAAAATTACTTCACACTAAAACAGAAAGATGTGCAAGAGAAAGGATACAGGACTGTAAGTACAATGGTTTGAGGGATCCGATCTCTGTGACTAAGCCTGTATGTATAAGTAGAAACAGGTTTTCATCTAGTTAATAACACCCTGTACCTGGTTGTGTGCTCTATACAGTTTGTCACTGTACACATTGGTTAGGAAGTTCTCAGCCTTATCACTGCTTCTTTGTGTGGACTTTTGGGTCCTTTTTGAGGTTACTGACTCTTCCCAAGTACAATAGATATTGGTTGACACTGCCTAGTTTTAGTGCTTGTATGATATTATTGGTTGGTGTTTCTGTCACCCACATTTGAGAAAACTAAAAGATGTTCTGGGGCCTTGTGTGTGGCTCGCTGGTAAAGCTCATGCTTTAGATGTGTAAGACCCTTGTTCAATCGCTGGCATTTCAAAAGGGATTCTCTGACAGTATTGACTTTTTGGAAGTGAATCTATTTACTAACTGGTGGCCTGTACTTAATGTCTTTTTATGAAGTTACAAGCATTACTTGAGTCAAAAGAAATGAGTGATGCTCTCAAAGAGTAGTTAAAATTAGTATAATCACCTTCTTTCTGAAAAATGATGGTGACCTTTCTTAATCATTTGTTTTAGTTCCCTAGACCTCTGACCTGGTGGATGGAGTTCGGATTCCCCCCACCGTACCCCACCCCTCCTTTGTCCTATTACCTGCAGTGACGGGGTACCACACATGCTTGGTTGGAATGCACTGGAGCTCGCACACTTGGTTGCGGCACAGGGATCCCATGTGGCAGTGCAGTGTTGTCATTTGTACTCAGAATGTGGGGTGGTTTCTGGATCCCTACTCCTGGCCTCAAGCTTGCAAGGCCAGTGTTCTACCACTGATCTACATGTCCTGATTCCCTGGCTTGTGGGATTGTTTCATTTAATTACCTTTGTAATGTTGTAATCTTGTCAGGTGACTGCCATTCTCCCCTCTCTGACCTCTGGCTTTAGATTGCTTAGCCTCTGTTGGCCAACAATTTAACTCAGTGGTAGAGTGCTTGCTACATGCTTGAAACTCCGGGATTGTGTCTCAGCAGAAATTAAATATTCTATTATCCAGTAAGCAACTATTTCCCTAATTCCTGTAAGTGGGACTAAATGATTTCTTGTGAACATAAAGTCTAGTGACAGCGTCGGTAAGACTAAAGGATAGAGAATGGGCACTTAGAATTTTATCAGTAGGCATTTAATTCAGAGCATATTTAAGATATCAATAAACTAGTCAGGTTTATTGAAATGAAAGGGTTTATTTTTTTTTTGACTTGTTTATTTTTAAAATCAGGGTGAACTCAAGACTGAGCTTCAAAGTTCGCTGAAAACATTTTTATCCCCTACTGTGTCGTCAGTACTGAAGATCAATAGTCAACTAATGAATATTTTCAAGACTTCATTGACACTGACTGATAAGGTAGGTGATGTTAGGTTTTTAACATCCCCAAAGTGAATATTGCTATCGCTGCTGTTTGAGGGATCTCACCCAGTATTGCTTGGGGACCATAACTGACAGTGACAGGGATTGGACCCAGAGTTTCATAGGTGGAAGTTATATGTTATCACTTCAGCCACACCCCTAGTCCCTCAGAATTGAATTGTACAAGAATAGAATTCTGTTTTATCTCGTCACACTTGGAGACCCATCTTCATGAGCACTCCAGGAACTGGATAAACAGTCCAGAGAAGGGAGAGCTATGATGCATTTTACCATTGCTGTGGTCATTCACGATCACAATCACGACCATCCTGTTGTTCGTCGATTGCCTCAAGCAGACCCCAGTAATGTCTCCTTCGTCCTAGCCCTGAGATTTTTTAAAAAGTGCCATATTCAAGGCTCTTTCAGGGTTAGGAGGATGAGCCCCATCATTGTTACTGGTATTTGGCATATTGGGTTTGCCACGGGGAGACTTTGCCAGACTCCGCCGTGTGGGCAGGTTACATTTGGTAGCCTGCCAGTTTGTCCAAAGTAAGAATGAGATAATAAGAGGTCTTCTGGGATGGGATTACACGGCGCCAGGGGGCCAGTTGGTGGGTGTGACCCCTGACTACTGGAAGGTGGGGGATCTGGGTGGAGGATGCTCAGCCCCTATCCGAGCAGGCTGGGAGATCTCAGCCCTGGGACCTGCATGCCTTCGTTCCTCTGCCGGTATCTTCATGCGTATGGAGAGTCATCTCAGCATGGTGGTGGCTGGTTCTGGAGGTCTTCGGCTGCCGGAGCCCTGGTCGGGGCAGGGAGGGAAACAACCCGCTCCCCTCCAAGGGGCCCCAGCGAGGACAGCCAGGCGCCGGGGCAGGAGACTCTGCGCTGTTCTCTTCCGGGAGCTGGGTTTTATAGTCACACCCACCAACTGACCCCCTGGCGCCATGTAATCCCATCAATGGCCAAGACCCAGAGACAATAAAACCAGCTGTGGTCATTATTTAGAATAATGATTAAGAAAAAACTGGGAACTGTAAAGAGATAGTACAGGGATTAAGATGATTGCCTGGCTGAACCTTGTAAGATCCCTGGTATTACATATGGCCTCAGAGCACTGCTGGGTGTGGTGTGAAAGAAAAAAAGAAATTAAAAAGAGAAGGAACAATTTTCAAGATAAATGATAAAATGTGTCAGTGTGAAATTTTTGCATAAATAATATGGTGAATGAGGAACAAAAATGTTTAAATGTATACGTGTCTGCTTAAATAGGTATAAATTATCTCTGCAAGTGTGTAAAAATATAGTAATTTGGACTCTGGAGAAGCCTGTACTCTCTTGAGCACAAGTATCTCTTTCCTCTCACATTTTTCTAAGTAAGTTTATTTCAGCTAAAAACTACTTTGGGGGCTGGAGAGATAGCACAGCAGGTAGGGCATTTGCCTTGCACGCGGCCGGCCCAGGTTCCATTCCCAGCATCCTATAGGGTTCCCTGAGCACCGCCGGGAGCAACCCCTGTGCATTGCCAGGTGTGACCCAAAAAGCAAAAAAAAAAAAAAACCAAAAAAACCCTACTTTGTTTCATTTAAAAACATTCATTTAAAAACATTCCCTAAGTAGATTTCTTTCAATATAAAGCTACTTTGTTTTACTTAAGAAAAAAAAAGTAGCAGTTTGCTCAGATATGGGTGTGGAGGGGTAAGTATGATTCCTGATAGGAAGGAACTTTCTCTTCCTACTCCCTCAGAGTTGCTTTGTGTGACTGTAGTGACCCCCAAGAACCACCCTATTGTTTTTTAAAAACCTTATTTAAAACATTTTAAAGTGAAACCTGTTTTTTTCTTCAAAGGTAGAGGAACAGAAAAAGGAAATGGATGATTTTCTGGGCACATTTTGTAACAGTCTCCACCAATTACAAGAAAATACAATTTCTTCCTTGGCTGACTTACAAAAGCGGTGTGAAAATTTAACAGAAGAGCTGAAGGAAATTAAGAAAATCCATTCACAGGTATCTAATTTAGCAGATTTGGGACGTGTTACGAGAAAGTTATGTAACTTGAAAATCTCTGTTCTATAGATAAATGCTGTATAACTAACTCAGAAACCTGAAAATGCCATAGCCATTATTCTTCTAACCAATTAACAATGTTAAAATAATACAAAATACTTTTTTTGACCTGGTAGTATTTGAAGATTTGCTGAACGTAGAACCCTGTGCTGGAGAGTACTTAAATGAGTATCAGGGCCAGAGTGAGAGAATGGCAGGCAAGGCACTTGACTTGAGTGCAGCCCACGCAGCTTCCATCCCCGGCATCCCATACCGTCCCCTGAGCTCCTCCAGGAGTGATCACTGAGTGCAGAGCCAGGAGCAACCCCTGAGCACTACTTGTTGTGGCCCCAAAACAAAATAATAAAATGAATAACTACATTATAATGTGATAAATTATTTACAGGGTTACAAACACCTATTTTCTCCTAATATTTCAGTCTCATTGATGTTAGGTTTAAATTATAGTAAGCTAAGTGAAAGGTAGTATAGAAGTTAAGACAGCTTGCTTGCGATTGACGACGCTGTTTGAACCCCAGCACTGCATATGGTCCCCTAGTATCACCAGAGGTGGTCCAAAGGCTCCTCACTCATACCAATTATTGAGAATTACTACAATTCTTATTTTGCTTTTTGGGTGGGGGATGTCACTTCTAGTAGTGCTCAGAGTATCTTCCAGTGCCAATCAAACCTGACCTCCAGGATGCAATGGGTAAGCTGCCGCTCTTTGAGATTGAGTTAACTGTCTGATTCTGGCCCGACAATTTGTTTCTCTTGAAAATGACGCCCCTCCCATCCTGCCAATCTTTTGTGAGGCACTTGGTTAATTTTCCTCCACAATTTTTTTTTCTTGGCCAATCTAGCAATGCTTAGGGCTTAATCCTTGCTCTGCGCTCAGGGATCACTCCTGGCAGCCTCAGGAGATCATATGGTGCTGGGGATTGAATCCAGGTTGACTGCATGCACTACCTCTCTGACCCCTTTCTCCACTATTCTTAATTTTGATTCATTATAAATATATTTTTTATGTGTGTTTTGGTTTTTAGGCCACACACCCAGTGATGGTCAGGGGTTACTCCTGGTTCTGCACTCAGAAATCATTCCTGGTGGTACTCAGAGTACCATACGTGATGCTGGGGATAGAACACAGGTCAGCGGCATGCTGCCCGCAAGGCAAACACCTAATCACCATACTGTCTTGCTGGCCTCAGTTTTGATTCATTATAAATGTAATTTTAGGGGCTGGAGCAATAGTACAGAGGGCAGGGCATCTGTCTTGTATGCGGCTGACCTGGCTTCGATCCCTGGCATCCCATGTAGTCCCCTGAGCACTGCCAGAAGTAATTCCTGAGCGCAGAGCCAGGAGTAACCCCTGAGCATCACTAAGTCTGACCCAGAAACAAGCAAACAAAATGATAAATATAAGTTTGACTTCTCTTCGTGTGGATTATTGCTTAATATAAAGACTTTAAATTGAAACTCAGCTTTCAAGCCAAGGAAGTTATAAATCTATTAGATATATGGAAATCAATTTCCAGCATCTTTCAGACTTTAGTAATATCTAAAGTTTTGCTAAATGGAACTATTACTAGGTAGAATTCTCTGGTCAGTGAAATCATTAGCATGCTTTCTTGAGCAGAAAAGGATTCTTTAAACAGTTTAGTGTGAGGGAATTCACATCCATGTCACCAAAATGAGAAGGAAAACTCAACATATTTCAAGGTAAAATTTAAACCACATTATGATTGTTCATTTCTCTAACAAGTATGAGAGCTTTGATAGAAAAGATTAATATCAGGAACTAGTAAAAGTGATAATTGAGAGAGCAGGTAAGCCACCTTCATGTGGCTGACCCGTGTTGGGTCCATGGCACCCACTAACATTCCCCGAGCCCACCATAAGTGATCCCTGATTGCAGAGCCAGAGGTAAGCCATGAACACCACTGTGTGTGGGGCCCCTTCTCAAAGAAACCTGGTAATTGACATTTATTAAATAATTCATTATGTTTAATTCTTCCACCAACATAGACTTGGGTTCTGGCTCACCTTCCTAATGAGGAATTGGGCTTTGCAAGTATCTAAAAGTACTTAGATCATTTCTAGATAGCAGGAATTATACCAAAAGGACTCCATTTTATGGATCTTTCGTGTATTTTGGGACATATTTTTGCTGTTTGAAAGTGCAGTAGTATCTTTGTTGTTGCATAAAGGTAAAGGTAAAGGCCCTCCCATTGATCGTTGATTTGCTCGAGCGGGCCCAGTAACGTCTCCATTGGAGACTTTGTTGTTACTGTGTCTGGCATATCGAATACGTCACGGGGAGCTTGCCAGGCTCTGCCGTGCGGACGAGATACTCTCGGTAGCTTTCCAGGCTCTCCGAGAGGGGTGGAGGAATCGAACTCGGGTCGGCCGTGTTGGCTGCGTGCAAGGCAAACGTCCTACCGCTGTGCTATCACTCCGGCCCTATGTTGTTGCATAGAGAGAGTATTTTCCTTTTACTTGTCCTGTTTTAAATACATCTTTTGTGGTTCATCCATTTTTATCATTTAGCTGTTTTGAAATGTTTAAGATTGGTAAACAGTTACTTAAAAAACAAAATACCTATAATTTGCAAAGTATTTAGCATGAATGTTTTGGCTTCCCTTACTTTAAGGAAACAATTTTATTAAGTGAGCAACATCTTAGATTTTTCTAGAAATTGAATTTATTTAAGAAAAACGGGGCTGTAGAGAAACAGAGGTCAGGACCTTTGCCTTGCATGCAGCCAACCCATGTTCAATTTCTGGCACTCCATATGGTCCCCCAAGCACAGCCAGGAGTGATTCTTGAGCACAGAACAAGGAACAGGTGCTGAGCATTGCCAGATGTGACCAAAAAAAAGAAAGAAAGAACATAAGAATGTTTAATAAAATTCTAAATGCCTAAGCAAAATGAGAGAATAAAGTAAAATTCTGAATGCCTATTTATGTATAATCCTATCATTCTTACATTTTCTGAGTTTAGTAAAAGCACTTGAGAACTTTATCCATAATCAGTATGTGGGAGTTGACCAAATAATAAACTGAGTATTAGAATGCTGGTACATATTCAATTCTTTGTCTTTATCATTTTGCAACCTGAAGTCCTTAGTGTATTATCTGCCTGGAAATCCTTGTTTTAAAGATGTTAAATAAGGCTTATAAATAAAACTCTACACTAGTAGTCCAACTAGGTTCTGTCAAATGTTCCCACTCTAGTAATTTTATACTATTCACTAGATCATTACTTTTTTGTTTTAGTTTTGAGCGACACTTTGCTGTGCCCTGGGCTTATTTCTGGCTCTGAGCTTAAAGTTCTTACTTGTGGGCACAGGGAACCATAGATGGCGCTGAGAATTCAGCCTGGGTTGGCTGTATGCAAGGCAAGCGCCTTATCTGCTGTACTAGCTCTCCAACTCAAATATTACTTTTCTACTCGTGGTATCAGAGGATACCTTATGTCGCTGTCAAAGTGGCTCTCAAATATAATGTGGTCTCTTAGGGCATTTCATTAGATCTGAGATCTTCTGAATTTATTACTAAAAGTTTAAAATAGTAGAGTTTGCAAATTATTTACTTTTTAATATAATACTAGAATGTATATTTGATATATGTAAGCTATTTAAAATTATTTTGAATTATAAGCTATTTAAAAGCTATTTAAGATAAGCATTATATATAAGATATTAAAAAGATATGGATTTTGTGGGCAGAGTGATAATACAGTGGGTAGAGCGTTGGCCTTGCACATGACTGACCCAAGTTCAATTCCCAACATCCCATATAGTCCTCCGAACCCACCAGGAGTGATTCCTGAGTGCAGAGCTATAAGGAACCCCTGAGCACCACCAGGTGTGGCCCTAAAACTAAACAAAAGAAAAACATACGGGTTATCTATATATATGTTGCATATATATTTTATAAAATACATACAAAATTATGCATAATTTTATAAAGTGCATTTCATAATACATTTTATAAGGTAAAGGCCCTCCCGTTGATCGTCGATTTGCTCGAGCGGGCCCAGTAACGTCTCCATTGGAGACTTTGTTGTTACTGTGTCTGGCATATCGAATACTCTCGGCAGCTTGCCGGGCTCTCCGAGAGGGGAATACATTTTATAAAAATAATACATTTTATAAAAATATATAATTTCTATAATACTTTTTGAATAGCTTTTTCATTGGTTTCTTCTGAGAGAAATAAGATTAAAGATCTTTTGCCAGGGCTGGAGAGATGGTACAGGAGTTAAGATGCTTGCCTTGCATGACCCCTGTTAGATCCCAGCACCCCACGTGGTCCTCCAAGCACAGCCAGAGGTCAGAGAGCCTCTGAGCAGAGCGCCAGAAATAGTCTCTGAGGACTGCCAGGTGAGGCAGACACTCCAACCAAATAAATTTTTTTGTCAGGGATTTGTAGACTCTTTACCTATAGGATAATACTTTATGTCCGTTTGGAAAAAGATCAAGTGTCATAATTTTTGTCTCTTCTCTCACATCTTTCTTATAGGAACTTTTCCAGTTAATCAATCTTTGGGGAGAGAGGTTCTGTGCTTTGGAGGAAAAATGTGAAAATATCCAGAAGCCACTTTGTACCATTCAAGAAAATACAGAGAAGTAAACTATTTTTAAATACTCTTTTCTGTCGGAAATGATTTCAGGAAAAACAAAATAAACTTTTAAAAGTCTAATTACAGGGGCTGGAGCAATAGCACAGCAGGCAGGACATTTGCCTTGCACGCGGCCAACACAGGTCGATTCTCACTACCCCATGTGGTCCCCGGAGTACCACCAGGAGTAATTCCTGGATGCATGAACCAGGAGTAACTCCTGTGTATCGCCGGGTGTGACCCAAAAAGCAAAAAAATAAAAAAGAAATCGAAAGTCTAATTACTATCAATTCAATGTTTCAACTAACGTGTTTACATATTTGCTTTATAATATTTATTCTGTCTTCTCCCACTTTGATGATCTTTGTGAATTAGCTATGGATAATTTACAATTGCAGTGTCCAAATATTCTTGAACATTTATGATTCTATCGCCTTTCCATCTCCTTTTTATACTGCTACTGCAAAGTTCAGCTTATTGGACATTCTGTTTAACTTTTCCTCATTTAGATAACTATTTCATTCACTCCTATGCATTTTCTTAGACATTAAGGTCATTTTCTCTGAAGCAGGCCTATTTTATCATTTCTTTGGTTAAAAACTTTCTTACTCTGTGTTCTAGCTTACATGTTTATTCTGTTTTCTCTATTTTTCTTTTCTGACCTGAAATCTGGAGTGATAGCACAGTGGGTAGGGCATTTGTTTTGCAAACGGCCGACCTGGATTCAATTCCTTCTTCCCTCTCAGAGAGCCTGGCAAGCTGAGAGTATAGCACGCTCAAGGCAGAGCCTGGCAAGCTCCCCGTGGCGTATTCAATATGCCAAAAGCAGTAACAAGTCTTACAATGGAGATGTTACTGGTGCCCACTCTAGCAAATCGATGAACAACGGTAGGACAGTGCTACCTATAGTGTCTTAAATGCTTCAGTGTATTTCCATTAAATCGTGGATATTCTCTTAATAATCTTAGTTTTAATCATAATTTTGTTCATTTGGAAGTATAATTATTTTACAAAAGAGAATAAATATTGATGACTACTATTACCGAATAGGCAGGCCTAATTCAGATTTAGCCAATTGTCTCCCTAATGTACTTTTTTTTGGGGGGTGTGGGGTGGGAGGATGGTGTTGCACCTGTTGATGCTCAGTGGTTACTCTTGTCTGCACTCAGGAATCGCTCCTGATGATGGTTGGGGAGCCATCTGGGATGCCAGGGATTGAACCTGGGTTGCTAGTTCTTCTAAAAAAAATGAAATTTTTTCTTTCCCCTCCCAATTTTATTTATGTTATCATATTAGAGGCTGCCCCAAAAACCTCTATCCCTCTCAGAGAGCCCGGCAAGCTACCGAGAGTATCTCACCTGCATGGCGGAGCCTGGCAAGTTACCTGTGGTGTACTTGATATGCCAAAAGCAGTAACAATGATGGTCCTCATTCCCCTGACCCTGAAAGAGCCTCCAATATGCCATCGGGCTGCACTAGCATGTGACAGGGACGAATGGAGACGTTATTGGCGCCTGCTCAAGCAAATTGATGAACAACGGGCAAATCGATGAATAACGGGGTGATAGTGATATTATCATGTTAAAATCCATTATATTTAGATATTCAAGTAATTCAGTTGATTAGGAAGAACTTTTTTTTTTTTGGTGTTTCTTGGATCAAACTCGGGGCCGCACATGTGCAAGGCAAGTGCTGTTGCACTGAGCTCTACCCTCAGCACTGGTGAGAACTCTTCCAGGTCGGCCCCCATGTCCTTCTGATGTGACTTACCCTGCCTAACATTGCTTTACTTTCTGGATGGGCCCAGCTTACCTTGTGCTTTCTCACCCACCCCTAGAATCTATTCACAGAAACTGAACTCTGAGTAGTAGCTATTACCACTGTTTCTTCTCTTTCCTACTTGTGGATATGGTTTGAATGATGTGTGTGTATGTTTATATGTACCTGCACATAAATGTCTTCCTGGTGCATGTGAGTTCCCTTGCAGACCATGAGAAACCTGGCCTGAATGAATAATTTTTTTTATTTGGTTTTAGAGTATACATTAATTTCTGCACCAGTTTGGATGACAGATATGCTCATTAATTAGAGCAAGATTTGGCAAACTGTAGCTGGCAGTCTGGTTGGCCATTTCTCAGATGATTTATTTAACATAGCTATGTCTGTTTGTTCATGTGTTGTCATTGGTTATATTTGGCTTCCTCTGCACTGCAAAGGTATGTCAAATATTGCATACCCCATAAACCTAATATTGCCTGTTTAGATTTTTGTTTAAGTAGATCAACTTAATTTTGTCAGAGTAGGTGTCTCTCCAAAATTCCTCATTGCCTCATTGCCACTTCAAAGATACTTGTAGTATCTTGACCTGATGGTTAAGTGTTTGGGCTCTGCAGTGTTTGGGGGCTACGGGGTGTTGGAATTGAACTTGATGCTTGGTGTATGCAAAACTCGTGCTCTAGCCATTTGAGCTAGCTCTCTGGCCCATAGATTAATTTTTGTGTATTGTACAGAAATAATTTTTGAAGGATTCTTTGATAAATTTCATTATAAACTATCAAAAGATATGTTCAACACAAAAAAGACATTTATTTACACTTGTTCCTTGTATTTATTTTATTTTCTGTTTGTTTTGGTGCCTCTACCTATGGTGCTCAGAGGCTGTTTTTGACATGGGTCGTAGAAGTAGTATAGTAGGTAGGGCATTTAATTTGCACAGAGCCAAACCGGCTTCAATCCCTATCATCTTATATGGTCCCCTGACTACAGGGCCAGGAGTAACCTCTGAACATCGCTGGATATGACAACCAAACCAAATCAAACCATAAAAAAAAAATGACCCCCTAGCAGTACTTGGGAAACATGTGGTACCAGGATTCAAACCTGGGTTGGCAGTCTGCATGATGCTGTCTGGCCCTATTGATAGGGCAAAATGTCCTGTTGCATCACAGATGATAGAGATAAATAAAAACATGAAGGCATATTAATGGAATATGTTTTCTTTCAAGTGCTATTTAGCTGACAAACATACGTAAGTGATTACAGTGTGTTTATTAAAGACTGGAGCAAGGAGCCTGGGAGATGGTTCAAAGGGCTGATATGCATCCTTTGGCTTTGATTCCAGGCACCACACTAGGAGCTTCCCACAGCACTGCTGGCCTAACTCTAACTCTTCTCTCCCTTCTCTTTAACTATGTGTGTGTGTGTGTGTGTGTGTATAGGCATATATTTTTCACAGCCTGGCAAGCTACCGAGAGTATTCGATATGCCAGACACAGTAACAACAAAGTCTCCAATGGAGACGTTACTGGGCCCGCTCGAGCAAATCGACGATCAACGGGAGGGCCTTTACCTTTACCTTTTCATTTCATCATCCTGTTATTCGTCGATTGCCTCGAGCAGGCCCCAGTAACGTCTCTTTCATCCTAGCCCTGAGATTATATTCAAGGCTCTTTAGGAGAATGAGACCCATCATTGTTACTGGTATTTGGCATATTTGGTACGCCACGGGGAGTTCGCCAGACTCTGCCCTGTGGGCAGGCTACATTCGATAGGCATATATAATACGTATTATATACAATAAATATAATACTATATATAGTGTGTATGTATACCCACACACAAAGACAATTATTTTTATTTCTTCCCATGTTGATGTTGAGATGATTCAGAGCTTGTGCACAAAACTTATCCATTAGGAGTCACATATTAGGTCTTGGTGCTTTTTTTTTTTTTTATTTCTTTATTGAATCACCGTGGGAAAGGTTACAAAGCTTTCAGGTTTAGGTCTCAGTCATGCAAATATCAAACACATTTCCCTTTACCAAAACTTATTTTTTACCATGAAGAACCCCAATAAAACCCCACCCCCACCCCTCCCAGTCCTTGTGGGGCAGATGAATTCTAGTTAACACTCTATCTGCTTTGATTAGACTCATTGTTTCAATAAAAGATTCACCACTATTATTTAGAGTTTACCCCCCCCCCCCCAAATCAGACATGCTGAAAAAGCATTGTGAAGTGATTTGCTTTCTACAGCTGGGTTCAAGAACCAAATGTTGGCTTTGGATTTCTGCTATTTTACTTATTGACCCTGGAAGTATTTCTACTGAAAGTCGGATAGTTAAGAAATTGGTCTCTGTGCACTGGAGACGTGGCCGTGCTGGAGAGCCGCTAGTGGGGGGCAACCGGTGGCCTCGGTAGGGCGTGAAGGGCGGACCGAAACGCCCCCCTTCCCATGAGGTTCCAGTCGCCCCCAGTACCCCGGCTCATACCTGCTGTCCACAAGGCTCCCATGCGGCCGCCATCTTTCTTTCCAGAGAGGAGAAGGCGACTGGGGCAACACCCTTTCCCCTCTGGACAGACCTGATGGCCTGGATTAACGCATAGTCCATTCACTTTTCTGCTCCAAGCTGCCGGGTTCTGCATTAAGTCCTTGTGCTTCTGGGGCCGTGGCCGTGCTGGAGAGCCGCTTGCGGGGGGCAACTGGTGACCTCGGTAGGGCGTGAAGGACGGACCAGAACGCCCCCCTTCCCATGAGGTTTTAGTCGCCCCTACAACCCCGGCTCATACCTGCTGTCCACAAGGCTCCCATGTGGCCGCCATCTTTCTTTCCAGAGGGAGGAGGGTGGAAGGGACCAACACCCTTTCCCCTCCGGGCAGGTCTTGGTGCCTTTACCCCTGGTCACGGTGTTCAGTTCATTTAGTTGTGTCTTCACATACATGCTTGTCAATGCTTGCGCTTCATTAAGCACACAGCTGAAAGTTAGTGTCCACTTGCCAGGTGTTGCATGCCTTTTTGTAGTGATTGCACCTAGATGAGGTGTAGCCTGAAACTATTTGCTTCACTGGTGATCACAGGCAGCAAAACTGCCAGGATCAAGCTCAGCACAGTGGGATACTGGGGATTTGAACTCCTGACCATGTACTTGCAAGGCAGGTGTGCTGAGACACTGTGCTCTTCCTCTGGGAATCTGTTTTTCAGTTCTGTCATTGCTTCTATTCACTATATCATGTTCTATGATGACATTTCAGATTTGAGGTTTTGTTTTGGGGACTACACCCGGTGGTGCTCAGGGGCCGTTCCTGGCATGGCGGTGCTGGAGGAGCCAGGTAGTGCCAGGTATTGAACTTGGTGCAAAGCGTGTGCCCTATTTCTTTGAGTTATCACTTGGGCCCCTCCTGTTTTTAACCTTTTACATCTGTACTGGTATTCCTCAAAGTGTGACTCAAGGAGTCTGTTCAGCTCCCTGAGCGAGGTGGGGCTTGGAATTCTTAGTCCAGTTTGTGTATGCTGAAGCGTGTGTCCTGTCTTTGGCATTTATTGGTGTGGATCATAGTTACTTATGAGTAAATTTCAACTTACTATGAGTGATGAGTTCTCTAAGGGGATAGGTTTGTCTTATAGCTTAAGTTTCTGTCCCTTTGTCAGTAGTTTCCACTTGGTTTGTAGTTGGACTCCGGTTTTCAAAGTACTTAATTAGCTTAGTAAACTCTGGTATGCCATCTACTGGTAATAAAAGGTAACTGTAAGTTTTGACTCCAGCCCTCTGAACCTTTGTGGGATAGAAGTCATCAGTGAATTTTACTTATCTATTAATTGTGGGGGGGCATTGGGTCACACCTGGCAATGGTCAAGGCTTACTTCTGACTCTGTGCTCAGGGATCATCCCTATTGGTGTTCAGGGGACTATATGTTTTGGTGGGGTTCAAGCTGGGCAAGCGCCATATCTACTGTAATGCCTCCATCCCATCATCAATGAATTTTAAATATATATTCTGTTTGATTTTATTGTGGTGCTAGGGATTAAACTTGAAGCCTCACACATGCGAGGCAAGCGCTTCCTCACTGTTTACAGCCCCAGCCCTTAAACGTATGTTCCCACTGATGAGTTTTATATCACGATTGTTAGAAAGGAGTGCTACATGTATAGTTTGTCATGCCCCAATATAATTTTTCATTGTTAGAAAACATTGTAGCTCACATATTACTTTATAGCATAATTTTTTTGATTTATTTTTTGTGCCAGGCAAAGAAAAAGAGCAGAAGAACAGAATGACTAAATAGCCCAGCGTGCAGGGACTAGACAAAAGCCCGTTGGAGGTGCCCTTGAGGAATGGGGAAGATTGCACTCAGGCAGATTCCACTGACATAGTTGTGGTTCATACAGAAGGAGCCTTCTATCTGGAGAGGGCTGAAAGGTTGTCTGAAGAGAGACTTCTAGTGTCATTTGACAGACAGGCAAAGGCAGCGTCCTTGGTGTGTAAACAAGCGCGGCTGAACCACGCTGCCTCGGCTCACATGTGCTATGTGAGCTTTGGCAAGTGGTGCATATTTTGATTTTTTTTTTTGTTTTGTGTTTTGGTTTTGGACAACACCCAGTGGTGCTCAGAGCTTATTCCTGGCTCTGCCCTCTGGGATCACTCCTGGCGGTGCTCACGGGACTATATGGGTTATGCACCCCGGTCAGCCTCCGGGGGTCAGCCTCCACATGCAAGGCAAATGTCCTACCCACCGTTCTAATCACTGCTGTAATCACTCCAACCCCCATACATATTTTGAGTGCTTTCCCTTCACCTCTCTTCTCCTCCCCTCTCCCCTTCCCCTTCCCCAACCCTCCTCTCCTTTCTCTTTTTTATCTTGGTTATACCAAAACTGCACAGGACTTACTCCTGACTCTGTGCCCAGGGCTCAGTGGACAATAGGGGGAGTTGGGTATCGAACCTGGGTTGGCTGTGTGCAAGAGAAGTGCCCTGATCTCTGTTTTATCTCTCCTGCCCAAGTTTTTCTTTCTCTTTTTAATTTCCACTTTCCTTTTGAAGACCTCACCCACTCGCTTTTTGGGACTGTACAGTACCGGGGATCAAACTCAAGGACTCGGTACATGCTTGATTGCCCTGTCACTTGAGTCATCCCTCACCCCTGATGTTTTCCATTTTAACTGTCTTTTTTTTCTTTTTCTATAGGAAGTCTAAGGATATAATCAGGAAAACAAGATCTCATAATACAAAATTTTGTGCTGATTCAGATGGTTTGTCCCAGGAACTCAAGCATTTTCATCGAGAAGGCACAGATTTGGTTGAGGAGTCCGTGAAACACCTTGATAAACTCAGTAGCAACCTTGAGTTAATAACCCAACACACAGAACAGAGATGCGAGGCTCTGAATACAAGTACACTTTGTTTTTCAGAAGAGTGGGTATCTTGCCTAAATAAAAGAGAGGAGGAACTTCAAAACTTAATGCAGGTAATAATTTTGTAGCTGGAACCAGCGCTTGGAGAAAATTCTGATAGTCATAAAATTAATGGGCTGGAGCGATAGCACAGCGGGTAGGGCGTGCGCCTTACAAGCGGCCAACATGGCCGACCCGAGTTCGATTCCTCCGCCCCTCTCGGAGAGCCCGGCAAGCTACCGAGAGTATTCGATATGCCAGACACAGTAACAACAAAGTCTCCAATGGAGACGTTACTGGGCCCGCTCGAGCAAATCGACGATCAACGGGAGGGCCTTTACCTCCCTTGTTTAAAGATGGTGAAATTTGAACATCAGAAAGAGCCATTGCTACAATATCTTAAAATATATGGGAGGGCTAAGCACACAATTTTTAATTTTATTTTAATTTTATTTTTTATTATTTTTTATTTTTAAATTTTTCTTAGTGAAACACCATGAGGTGCAGTTGTAGACTTACAAATTTTTGTGCTTGGGTTTCAGTTATACAATGATCAAGTACCCATCCCTCCACCAGCGCCCATCCTCCACCAACACAGGTCCCAGCATCCCTCCCCCCCCCCCCCAACCCCCTATTTCACCCTGCCTCTGTGGCAGGGCATTCCCTTTTGTTCTCTCTCTCCTTTTGGGTGTTGTGATTTGCAAAAGAGTAAGCACACAGTTTTTTATGCAAGAAACTGGTTAGAAGTCCAGCACTGCACGGTCCCCCAAAGCCAAAAAAGGGGGGGGGGAGTAGTAAGTCAAAGAAATAAGACTCATGAATCTTATTTTTTGGACTTATTTATTATTTTGTTCCGGGTTGGGGGGGGTGGATAAATGGCAATCTTGTTTGGCCTATATCCCATATCTACATAAGTGTTCAGTCTGGGTACTGGGTATATAGAAGTAGGGTCCACTATAGAGGGTGAGTTATACCACTTTCTACTTCTGTGTGTGCTTTTAAGCTTCTACTGTGGAAAGCTTTAAGGTAAGGAAAATTAATTTTTAATAAATCACTACAACTTTCAATAATAAACTCATTTACATAATTTACAGGTTGTTCACCAAGGTTGTGAGACCTCAAGTTCCGAAATCACAGAAAAGCAAAGTGGACATAAAGCAGCTAATGAGAACCTGAATAACCTCTTTCTCCATCAGATACATGTTGATGAAGAAGTACTCATGTCTCAAAGTCTGGAATTTAATGACAACATAAAAATTGGCTTGACTAAACTTAATAGCTTTCTGCAAGAAGAACTTAAACTAGATGTCGCAACAGGTACATTAAGAGAGAACAGAATTTTCAAAAATCATTTAAAAATATTTTATTTCTAGCATTGCTAAAATTTAAACTGAACTTAACCTTATACAGGGGCAGAAGTTAAGAAAAATTAGGTCTTAGGGCCAGAGCAATAGTGCAATGGGCTGCACATGGCTGACCTAGGTTCGATCTCCGGTCTCCCATATGATACCGGTACCTCAAGCACCACCAGGACTACTTCTTGAGTATAGAGCCAGGAGTTAACCCCTACATTGCTGGGCGTGGCGCAAAGACAATAACTAGGTCCTCCCATAGTCTTAAGGGGAATTTATCGTTTCGCTCTAATTCATTCACATGTGGAAAATTAGCAGTATTCTAAAGTAGCACTCAAAGTCAAGTAAGATAGAAGTGAACATATCAGAAATTTGGATGCCATCGATTTGCTCGAGCGGCTCAGTAACGTCTCCATTGGAGACTTTGTTGTTACTGTGTCTGGCATATCGAATACGTCGCGGGGAGCTTGCCAGGGTCTGCTGTGTGGGCGAGATACTCTCGGGAGCTTGCCGGGCTCTCTGAGAGGGGTGGAGGAATCGAACTCGGGTCGGCCATGTGGGCTGCGTGCAAGGCAAACGCCCTACCGCTGTGCTATCGCTCCAGCCCTTGGATGCCATCATTGAGTAAAATTTTACAAACATTCAGAGAATTGACTTTGTTAAAAGAGGATGTTTTAAAGAAATGAAAAGAAAACCATCTATCCAGCTCTCTTTGTGAAAAGACATTTAATATAAAAAGTAGTAAAGAGGCATAATTAGATAAATTTAATGCAAAGCTTGCCATACAATGCATTTTCTTGTATATGCTTTTCGTTTTGTCGTGGACTGTTAGTTTGGCATTAGAGCATCACCAGTTTGGGAGGTCATGGAAGGGCAAAGATCAATTTAGGTTGTAATGATTCAGGGAAACCCTTGTGAAGAAAGTATAACAAGTAGTTTAACATAGGATGAGTAATAGGGTTATTATTGGATTGTGATGATGTACATTTCATAAAACTTAAAGAGTGAGTTTCATGCTCTATTAAATTCTGCTTCAAAGCTAATGGGGAAGGGGCTGTTTTGGCCACACCTAGTTGTGCTTAGGGGCTATTCCCAGCTCTGTAATTAGGAGTGACCCCTGGCAGTGCTGGAGGACTGGCGCTAAAGCAGATTTGTTTTATAACACAAAGGAGGTGGCACTGGAATGTTTTGGGTCACCCCATCCCCCACAGGTAATATTGTTTATTTTTTCCAATAAAATCAGTTTGTGAAATGTGAATGAGTAGGAGAGCAAGGTCCTTTGCAAATCAGGAGAACTTGAGCTCATTATAAAGAAAGGTGTCTGGTTAATAGTTAGCCACTGCCAATTTTACACCGTAAAATTATACCTCTTAGTGATTTTGCTGGGTTGCTGGGGAAGCTGTAATCTTTTCTAACAGTGCTGCCATTTCTTTGAGGTCCGGGTCTCCATACAGAGCCTACAACAAACAATTTTGGTCCATCTTCAGAGATGGAAAATGTGAGTTGAGTCTCTCAAAGATAGAATGTCAGGAAATATGAGTTGTAAACGATATAATACCTGAAAGGTAACCTGACTGAGAGTGTTACATTTTGGGAAAATAAAGCATCATTGGGAAGTATAACTTATAGCATTAAAAAATAAATCTGGTTCCTATCCCATGCACAAGTTTTTTCTGTTATCTGCTGCTCACTAAAGGTACAACACCACAGAGGAAAAATTACTCGTATCCATCACTGTTGGTGCGAACCAGACCACGTGAACAGCTTCTTGATCAGCTAAAAAGAAAAGATCCAGAGCTATTAATGGTGCCAAATACTTTTGAGGGTAAAGAAGAGGCCAGTCAGGTAAAAGTTACCATCGTTATTTTAAAATCTTCATCAACTCTTGATTTTTTTTTCTTTCTTTTACGTCACACCTGGCGATGCGCAGGGGTTACTCCTGGTTCTGTACTCAAGAATTACTCCTGGCAGTGCTCAGGGGACCATATGGGATGCTGGGAATTGAACCTGGGTCGGCTGCGTGCAAGGCAAATGCCCTATCTGCTGTGCTATCACTCCAGCCCCACTATTGTCATTTTATATGAAACTAAGAATTATCCTGTTCTGAGCTATGGAGGGTAGAATTGGCAATGGTATCTTTATTTTTTATTTATTACCAAGTTGTTCATGATTGGACTTCAGTCGTATAATGTTCCAACACTCATCCCTTCACCGGTGTACTTTTCCTACCAGCCGTGCTCCCAATTTCCCTCCCCCCACCCCAACCCACCTGCCACTATGGTAGGCACTTTTCTTCTCTCTCTCTCTCTCTCTCTCTCTCTCTCTCCCTCTCCCTCCCTCCCCCCCTTTCCTCCCTCTCTCTCCCTTTCCTCTCCTCTTTTCTCTCTCCTTATGGTTTGTAATACAGATAATGAAAGGTTTTCAGGTATATCCCTTTACCTACTTTCAGCACAGTTCCTGTCGAAAATGGTCATTTCCGACTGTTGTCATGTTGGTCCCTTCTTGACAACAGAACCGTGACAGTCAAAAGTCAAATTCCATAGTTTGTCCTCATCTATAGTGATTCTAGAAAAATTGGGGAAGGAGAAAATTACAAAGAAGAAAGTGAAAACAGGCTGTAGTTTTATTACTTTGAGATTACCTTCTTAATTTTATTTTAAAAAATGTATTTGTTTTGGTGCCACACCTGTGAGTGCTCAGGTCTTACTCCTGGCTCACTGCTTATAAACCATTTAATTCTGGTGTTGTTCAGGGGACCATTTGCTGTGCTGGGGATCGAGCATGTTGGCCTCATGGCAGGCAAGCATCTTAACCCTGTAGTAACCACTTGAACATAATTCCCCCTCTTTCCCCATTTTGGTGTGTTTGGGTCACACCCAATTGTGTGCGGTTGTGCTCAGGGGCTACTTCCACCTGGGGTTGCACCTGGTGGTGCTCAGAGGATTTTGAGGTACCAGAAAATGGAACCCAATTTCCATCCTACATACCAAACATGCACTTTATCCCACTGGGCGTCTCTCTGGCCCTACTTTACCATTTTAGTACAGGTACTTCTGCTTATATGCAGCTATAGCTCTTCTAGAATGAGCATTGTGATACTTTTGAAGAAAATTGCGCTTTGTGATTTTTAAGTCCTCGGATTTACTCACCCAGCTTCTTCTTCTAGGACGCGGATGAAGAAAAGTCCGTTCTGGAGAGTACCATAGAAGAACCTCAAAGTCAAGAGCCTTCTGTGGATACCAGTGTGGATTGTTCTTCGAATGGCGGGGTTCCATTTTTTAAGGTACCTAATGATAGCACAGCGGGTAGGGCGTTCGCCTTACAAGCGGCCAACATGGCCGACCCGAGTTCGATTCCTCCGCCCCTCTCAGAGAGCCCGGCAAGCTACCGAGAGTATCTCGCCCGCGCGGCAGAGCCTGGCAAGCTCCCCGTGACGTATTCGATATGCCAGACACAGTAACAACAAAGTCTCCAATGGAGACGTTACTGGGCCCGCTCGAGCAAATCGACGATCAACGGGAGGGCCTTTACCTTTTTAATGATATTTTATCAGATAACCCTTCCACATCTGATACAAGTCATTTGCTACTCACTATAAAGGTATTTTCTCTTGCTGGTAGAAGGGCAAGTTCATTTTAGACATTTTTTGGCTGACTTTTATAATCAAAATTATTTACACAAATCTGGCAATTGGTTATGGCTTTTTGGTGGGATAAAGACAAAATTAGACTTATTCTGCACTTAATCTCTTAGCTGATATTTTCAGCGAATATAAAGACTCCTCTTTCTGCTTCCTACATTCTCAGAATGGTTTCTGAGCTGGGATTTCTCTCTGCTTTTTACCTGACATGAAAGTAGAAGTCCAGTAGTTTCAGTCTGCCCAGAAACAGACTGAGAAGGCAAGAGATCTAACACTTGAGAGACCAAATGCTGCCCAGCACTATGAATGATTTCTCTTGCCCGAAGCACTTCTTTCCATATTTTTATCTTGGGTTTTGGAGCCTGGCAGTAGTGCTCAGTGGTTACTCCTGCTGATGCTCAGGGGACCATATGGAATGTCAGGGATCTAACCTGGGCCAGCTGCCAACAAGGCAAAAGCCCTACACTCTATTATCCCTCCGGCCCTGCATCTTTGCTCTTTATTTCTGTTTTCTGTGCCTTTCACCTGCCTTGATCCTGTGCTAGCTAATCCTCTGATTTCTTTTCCACCCTTTCATATACCTGGAACAGTATGTTACTGTCTAGCATCTATCTTGCTATTTTGAAAACATGGGGCTAGCAGAGTTCTTAAGGGTTTCCGTACAGAAAGCATTGGTGCCTTCGTTTTACAGTGAAGTACTGCTTCTGATAGGTGTAAGCTTCTACCTGTCTGTTGTAATTCACATTCTGTGAAATTCCTCGCTGATGCTTCAAGCCAGTTTTATCCCAAAGTTCATTCTTCCTACCTTTCACTTTACCGTTTCAGTTAGAAAACTGACAGTGTTAGAACTGACAGGGCCCTTCCCCTTTAATGCTTTCATCTCCCTGCCCTCCCTTTGTTCTTGTCAGTGTTGTGATGTCCAGGGGTTGTATACTTGCTTGTGGTGTTTGCCAGGACTCACAAACCTATTGTGGTGCTGGGTTTCACAGCAACTCAGGACACATGGGCTCTCTACCCCCAGGCACATCCCTGTGTCTCCATCGTTTTTTCTTTCTTTTTTTTTTTTTTTGAGGGGGAAGTTTAGGCCACACCCAGTGGTGCTTAGGGTTTACTCCTGGCTCTGTGCTCAGGAATCATTCCTGGCGGGCTGGGGAACTATGGGAATCAAACTTGGTCAGCTGCAGGCAAGGAAAACTCCCTACCCACTGTACTATCTCTCCAGCCCCACCATCTTTCTATCTTTTAAGTAAAGCAAAGGGGAAAGTTATGAAAGCAACCTAGTGATGACTTCCTGGTTGGAAATCTGTTTTTGTTTTTTCTATTTAAGGCATTTTGAAAGTTAGGCTTAGTGACTCAGCTGTGGACAGGAAGTTCCTAGAGTACCAGAAAGCATTTGAGATTAGGAATGGGTTCTAGACCATCAGCTGAAATTCATAAATTATTTTTACCCTGATAGTATGATGTGGGGGTAAAGCTTTAAAGTTGTTTTATGGTTTGACTTAAGAATTACTACTAAATCTATAGTGAATACGTTTTGAAACAAGAAAAAAAGATTGGGGCCAGATTGATAATTCAGCCGGTCGGACTCTTGTCCTGCACACTTGACTTGGGCTTGATCCCCAGCACCTCTTATTGTGGTCCTCCAAGCCTGCACGGAGTGATCTGAGTGTAGAGTGAAGAATAAACCCTGAGCACTGCAGGATATGGTCCCAAAAAGCAAACAAAATGGAAAAAAATAACATGTGCCTGAGATAATTCCTATCAGAATTTCTGCTTAAAATATAAGTGCTCTTTTTGATGATGGCAAATCTTTGCTTTCCCCGCAGCACTTTTGGCTTTTGAGCAGATAATTCTTTGTTGTAATGAGCTGTTCTGTGTCTTATATGTTTAACTACAACCCTTTACAAGTCAATAACACCCTCTTTTTTTTTTAGTATTGGAGTACTGCTATTTATTCAGCCATTGATTAAGCTGATTGAATTGAGCATGAACTCCAGATTACTGTTTTAAAATTTTTTTTAAATTGAATATCCATTACAAAGCTGTTCGCAATTGGGTTTCAGTCATACAGTGATCTAACACTCATCCCTCCAAGTGTACATTTCCCACCACAAATGTCTCCTGTTTACCTACCACCATCCCCCAACACCCAAGCCCCCACCCCAGCCTCCGTCTATGGGAGGCACTTTCCTTCTTTCTCTCTCCTTTTCCTTTTGTGCATTATGGTTTGCAATACAGGTGCTAAGGGGTCATGGGGTTTGTTTAGGGCATGTAGTATTTTTATCAGGATGGTAAGGCTGGAGTAGTTTTTCAGTTGGGGAGCTGCTTTAGGGTGGATGTGATTGCCGAGGCTTCTGGAAATACAGGGAATTGGTGGGAGGTCCCCATCCCAACTTTGAGAAAGCCTGGAGATTTCAGTCACAAAACCTGCATACCCAAATTTTCAGCAGATTATGTCTCAGTGAGATCCGTCCTGAGACAGTGGAGACAGGCCAGGATATGGCAGCGATTTTTGTTTTGTTTTTTGCTTTTTTGGTGGGGAGGAGTCACACCCAGCAATACTCAGGGGTTACTTCTGGCTCTGCAGTCAGGAATTACTCCTGGTGGCGCTCAGGGGACCATATGGGATGCTGGGAATCGAACCTGGGTCGGCTGCGTGCAAGGCAAACACCTACCCCCTGTGCTATCGCTCCAGCCCCAGGCAGTGATTTTTGGACTGTGGGAGCAAGTAGCTGCTGGGGCCTCTGCTTGGGCGAGCACCAAGCCGACCCACACATCCCCGATTTACCTGGGTCTGTTCAGCCATGCATGGGTCCAAGCTTAACTGTGGCTTCTGATCTCTTTCAAGATTTATTTATGGGTCTCTGAAGTAAGGATAATAAATGAGCTTGTATAGCTGAGTTGGGCTGGAGCGATAGCACAGCAGCAGGGCGTTTGCCTTGCACGCAGCCAACATGGCCGACCCGAGTTCGATTCCTCCGCCCCTCTCGGAGAGCCTGGCAAGCTACCGAGAGTATCTCGCCCGCACGGCAGAGCCTGGCAAGCTCCCCGTGACGTATTCGATATGCCAGACACAGTAACAACAAAGTCTCCAATGGAGACATTACTGGGCCCGCTCGAGCAAATCGACGATCAACGGGAGGACCGTGATTGTATAGCTGAGTTGGAGGTGGTTTGTGGGCGTGGCTCCCATATATCTAACGTTTGGCTATTTAATTTCTTGGCAAACTTGGTCCCAAGTTGTTGGGGTTCTGCCAAAGGCATAGCAGCAATTTCGGGGTATCAAGAAGCCTGAAGGCACTATCAGGCCGCTGATGCACTTGCCCCACAGGTACAGGTTAACCCACCGGTGGCATCGTACCCCCCACCAGTCAAAAATGTCTCTACACTTGACCTGGCAGACCAAAAAATTCTGAACCACAGATTTTACTGTAAATTTTACTACAGTAAAACCTGTAAATATACTTTAGGAAGTCTGGCAGAAAATTAATATTTCTTTCATCCTATCCTTTCATTGTGGTAAAATGAAGCCATGCATCTCTGTTTAACCAAACAATTGGTTGACTCAAATTGCTGTGTTTTAGAAAAGGAAATTTTTCTGATTTTTTTTCATTCTTAATTATTTTCTGTAGCATAGAGAACTTTAAAAATGAAATGTGGGGCTGGAGCAATAGCACAGAGGGTAGGGCGTTTTCCTTGCACGCAGCCAACATGGCCAACACAGGTTCGATTCCCAGCATCCCATATGGTCGTGCACCCCCCATCCCCCCCAGCACCGCCAGGAGTGATTCCTGAGTGCATGAACCAGGAGTAACCCCTGAGCATTGCCGGGTGTGACCCAAAAAGCAAAAAAAAAAAAAGAAATGTAGCTAATATGTATAAAATTTTACTGTATATTGACTTATTTTTTTCCCTTAAATCTGCAGCGTAAAAAGCCACATGGAAAAGACAAAGAAAACAGAGGCATTAACCCAGTGGAGAGGTCTAAAGTGGAAGAAAATACAGAACCATTTGCAAAAAGCAAATTGCCTCTTCGAGCCTAGTTTAATCTTTAGTTGACTTGAGGATTGGTATTGCATATTTTCATAAAAATAAGAACTATAAACCCAGAACTTGAGCCTTGTGTACAGATTTAAAACTAAAAAGATCAAGGCAGTACTGTAAATTTGACTTTTTTAATGTATCTATTTGTCTGTCATCCTCCTTTTTATTGTGTGTAAGTAGGGTTTAATTTGGGATCTATATTGAGTAAATATGAGTTTTAAGCTTTTGATATAATCATTTCATAGATAATAAAATTTTTCTTACATATTACTGAGTAGCGTGTATATATATATCTAGAAAGAGAGAAGCTGCCTTGTTCTTTCAGACTTGACCTTATAGAGTTAGTAATGACCATTACTTTGCTTTGGGAAGGATTATCTCCTTCCCCTTTTTTTGATGATTGAATTATGTATTATTTGCTTGCCTCCTTCCCTGAACTTTTTTTATTTTAACTTCTGAAATCACTTTCTGTTATTCACCACCAAATCATATGTAGGGCTCCAAATTGTAATGCAGTGTAGCCAGGGTTTTTTCTAAAAATCTGTTTCGTGTGGCTGTCTCTAAAATCCCTGTTAACAGAGATCCCAGAGGTACCACTTCATCGTTATTTTCTTTCTTCTTTTTTCCTTTTGAAATTTTTTGTTCTGTTTTGTTTCACTTGGGCGCCATCTCTGGTCATGCCCAGGATATATCTAGCTATGTAGGGATCATTCCCAGCGGTGCTCAGGTGACCCACCATATAGGGAGCTAGGGATAGAGCCCGGGTTGATCGTGTGCAAGGCAAACACACTTTGGCCTGTCTTTTGAAAATTTTTTGCCACACCTGGTGGTGCTCAGGGGCCACTGCCAACTGTGTGCTTGAGGTTGATCCCAGCAGTGTGGGGGTAGATGGGTAGGGGTGGGGGTGGTGTTGAGGATCGAAGCTGGGTTCGCCTCATGCAAAGTGCTTTAGCCTCGAAACTATCTAGTCCCTCATTTTAATATTTTTAAGTTGTTTTCTCCTAGACGTGAAAGTATTTCATTTCTTTATGAGGCTTAATGCATTAACTTCCAAAAGGCAACAAAATTTGGGCCCAGGGAGATAGCACAGGGGTCAGGGAACATGTTTTACATATTCAAGACCCTGGATGACTTGAACCCCCAAGCACCACCTGTCCCCAGCTCTTGTCCCCAGCACTGCAGGACCTAAACAGCTCCACCTTCTCAGGCCAGGCACTAAGCTGCCCCTCCGGGGTGACTTCAGTATCTGGGACTCCCCACCCCCACTCTCACCCCGCCTGTCCAAGCACACCCAGCCCCCACGCTGTCCTCTGCCTCCCAAAAGTTAACAAGTTTAACATAAATTTCTATTATGGGAGAACTTCCTAGAGCTAGAGCACTGATTAATGACTCCATTGCCCCACTTTGAGGCCTGATCTTGTGCATAAGTGATCTATGGTCTTTCTGAAGTTATTACTGATGACTAGATGTTTTGTTTCCTCAGTGAAACTTGTTATTTTTGTCGAATGCCTCGAGCAGGCCCCAGTAATGTCTCTTTCATCCTAGCCCTGAGATTATATTCAAGGCTATTTAGGAGAATGAGACCCATCATTGATACTGGTATTTGGCATATTGGGTACGCCACGGGGAGTTTGCCAGACTCTGCCCTGTGGGCAGGCTACATTCCATAGCCTGCAAGTTTGTCCAAAGTAGGAATGAGATAATAAGATGTCATAAAAAGATGTCCTGATAAGATGTCACGGCCGTGGCCGCGCGGTTCCGGGAGCTGGATTTTATAGTCTGAGTCTTGGCCGTTGATGGGATTACACGGCGCCAGGGGGCCAGGTGGTGGGTGTGACCCCCGCCTACTGGAATTTGGAGGATCTGGGTGGAGGATGCTCGACTCCAATCCGAGTAGGCTTGGAGATCTCGGCCCCGGAACCCGCGTGGCTTTGTCCCTCTGCCAGTACCTTCATGTGTGCGGAGAGTGGTCTCGGCATTATTTTTGTATATAATGTATATAATGAAAAATGAAATATATAATGAAAAATGTATGTATATATTTTTTTCTCTATTGAACTCTTATTCCTTAATCTTTGTTCTGCAGCCAAATTGATGTAGCAGCCAAATTTTTGGAAGCTGAGGTGTATGATTCTGCATGAAGAAGTAGAGCACTTAGAAGGAATAAATATTGTGCCCACGTGAAATTAAGCATATAAAACTTAAAGAGATTTAGCCTTGACCGCTAGTAAAATTAAGACCTATTGGAGAGTTAGAAATTGTGCTAATTCAAGGAATGAAACGTACCTTGCAGATTATTACCTGAAAGAAAATAATGACATAATTTCTCCATAAATTATTCAATGTAAGGACAAACTTGCAGGCTATCGAATGTAGCCTGCCCACAGGGCAGAGTCTGGCAAACTCCCCGTGGCGTACCCAATATGCCAAATACCAGTAACAATGATGGGTCTCATTCTCCTAAAGAGCCTTGAATATAATCTCAGGGCTAGGATGAAAGAGATGTTACTGGGGCCTGCTCGAGGCAATCGACGAATAATAGGATGATGAATGAATGAATGAAGCATAAACTATGAATACTAAATGTCTAATAAAATTAACTGCCCTCAGTAAATATACGATCAATAAATTTGGTTTCTATGTTAATTTGCTCGCCCTATTTCTTATTTGGCAATGGGTATGTTGACACAGTTGAGCAAGTGGTATTACAATTCCTAAAAATGAACGTCCACAGAGAAAAGACTCTGAGGAAGCAGACCCGCACTGGGCCTGAAGTAGCTTTGTCAGCTCATGCCCTGTCTTAAAGTAGCATGGAAATGCTGATGCAAGTCGTTTAACTCTGACAGAAGCAAGTATGTTTCTGAAGAAATTCAACATCTGGGGCCTTAAGCTGGTTATATCAGCTTTCATCTACAGTGTTGTACCCTCACAAATGGTAGTCAGGCAGCTTCAAGAACCTTTTTCCCCATTCAAAAACAATTTTGTCAGCCCTCTGGAAAGTAGTCACAGCAGTGACTCAAACATTAAGGTAACAGTAATCTAAAAATAGAAAAATTTTGTGAATTTGATTTTTGGTTTGAGGGTTTTTTTTCCCCCCTTCATTTTTACCCTGTCTCCATTCCTCTTACTGGCTTTGTGGTGATCTTGGAGGTAGAAGGCTGACTGTTCTCTGCAGGGCACTTCCTATTCCTGGGTTCTGAAGGAGTCGAGGAGAATTTAGGAGAGACTTCTCCAAAGAGAACCAGAACCAGAGTACTTCAGATAGGGCACTTCTCTTGGACATGACTGACCTGGGTTTGATCCCAGTGTCATATGGTCCCCTGAGCCCTCCTGTAGTGATCCCTGAGTGCAGAGCTGGATGTAAACTATGGGCACCATTGGGTGTAGCTCAAAACCTGGGGAAAAAAAAACCCAAAAAACTCCAAACACTGTTGTAACCTGCCTGTGGCTATGTGAGGGCAGGTACAAGACTCTAGCCTGTGTTTCATCTGACCCGAAACCTAATCAAACTGGGAAATAACAGGCTTGTCTGTTATTGACTGGAAGGCAAATGAATAATCCACTATAACCTGGTGCAAAAGACTACAGTTGAATCAAACAAGCCCAAATTGGCCTCTGATGATAGGAGTGAATTTCTGAGGGAATTGGGTCACTCCAGGAGTTGAATCCACATATGTCCATGGCAAGTTGGAGGGTGCTCGAGAAGAACCAGGACTCTCACCACTCTGACCGCTGCTCACTCCGAGCAGGAAATGAAAGCGAAGACTGATTTAAAATAACTAAGCAGCAAGGGTGTGTTCTAACAATCTTCAGAGACTTGGAGGATTTATTTTCTCTCCATTTTCTTGTTTCAGTTAGTTTTGGATACTGGCTTTCAGGGAAATCTGTCAACACATTAGCATACAAGCAAAAAGGAGAGAGACTTGAGGAGGAAAAAAACTTCCCTATGACACAGTGATCCCACTTCTTGGCATTTCCCCCAGAGCACAGAATCATGAATTCAAAGAGACATATGAACACCTAGCCCATTGCAGTGCTGAGTACAACAGCCAGGATATGCGACTCTTAGCTCTTTCTCACTGTATTGAATAGCTTTTTCTTCAGCCTGCCTTGACTTTTCTCTCTACCTTGTTTCAGTAGTTGGATCTGGGTGGAGCCACATTGCTGGAGGGCTTCTCTCAAAATGTTTCTGTTCCCCCAGCTTTTGAAGCCTCGCTTTGTGCCAGAGCTGTGATGGATGGACTGGTCTCTGCCCTTCCACCCCAGGAAGGCTGCTATTCCATGCTGCCTGGGGCTTGCTGGCTCAGAGCTACAGGCAATGGACTGAAGGCTCTATGGCCAGCAGATAGCTGAGAGGACTGGAGTACAAGTTTATTTATTTATTTAATTTATTTTCCTTTTTGCTCTTTGGGTCACACCTAGCAATACTCAGGGGTTACTCTTGGCTCTGCACTCAGGAATTATTCCTGGCAAAACTCAGGGGACTGGGGATGCTGGGGATCGAACCGGGGTCAGCTACGTGTAGGGCAGATACCCTCCCCACTGGACTATTTCTCTGGCCCCAAGTTTTGCATTCTTGAGGGCCTAGATTCCATCCCCTGCACCAGTGATTCCCTGAAGAACAATGGGTCTGGCCCTTATAGCTCTCAGCCATGTAGAAAGAAAAAGGAGAAACAGAAACAAAGTGAGAGGAAGAAAAAAGATGAGCTGGAGAGGGAGTATGGAATTTAAGTCTTACATGCAGCTACCCAAGTTGAATCCCTTGAGCTCGACCAAGAATAATCCCTGAGCACAAGGTCTGGCAAAATTCCAAGCAAAAAAAGAGGAAGGGAAGGAAAGAGGGAGAGAAGGAAAGAGAAGGAGAGAAAGAGGGGGGAAAGGGGAACAAAGAAACTAAGGAAAAAGAACAAGCTAGCAGCTCCAGCCAGGACTGGCCATGTGTGGACATTGTCCTGCTTTAAACTGGCATCAGTGCTGGGTCTCATCACTGCCATCAACTCAGTCATTCTCACAACTGCTGCCATGTGGTCATGCCACACTTGCGGCCCCATGGCTGCTCTTGTCCCTGTTTGCTTATTCCTCCCCAGGAATCGAGTCATTGACCCCCCTGCTTGCTCCAAGCACATGACCCCTTCCCCTAAACCTCAGAAAGCCCCACAGGTGACTCTCAGCCTGCCAACTCTTGTCCTTTCCTCTGGCGTTGGCCGGGGGCGGGGGGGCATGACCTGCCCATGCTGATGCCCGCAGGCTTCGGGCTGTGT